CGAATAATTCCTTCTAAAGAACTCATCTATCCAAAAATCGAGTGGGAATGGACTCTTTGGACCCTTAGGCAACTTCCCTTCAAATTTGGAAAATTAATTTTTTGTATCCAAAATTGAATAAAAATGCAAGGGGTAAGCCTTACATTTTCATGAAAATTTGATCCCAAAATGACTTTTCTGAAAACAAGTGAGACATGCTGTTGGATGCAAGACTAGCATAATGGAAAACTCTGACACCCATAATTTTGAGGTAATGGGCAAAAATATTGAAATATTTTTAATGAAAATTGATATTTTCTATTGATTTTCCAGCATATTTTTGACGAATAATTCCTTCTAAAGAACTCCTTTATCCGAAAATCAGGTGGGAATGGACTCTATGGACCCTTAGGCATCTTCCCTTTAAATTTGGTAACATTTCATTTTTCACCCAAAATTGAATAAAAATGCAAGGGGTTAGCCTTACATTTTCATTAAAATTTGACCCAAAATGACTTTTCTGAAAACAACTGAGAAATGCTATTGGATGCAAGACTAGCATTTATAATGGAATACTCGGACACCCATAATTTTGAGGTTATGCGCAAAAATATTAAAATATTCTTCATTGAAATTGATATTTTCGATTGATTTTCCACCATATTTTCGACGAATAATTTCTTCTAAAGAACTCCTCTATCCAAAAATCGAGTGGAAATATTCGCTATGGACCCTTAGGCAACTTCCCTTCAAATTTGGAAAAATTTAATTTGTTATCCAAAATTGAATAAAAATGCAAGGGGTTAGCCTTACATTTTCATTAAAATTTGATTTCAAAATGACTTTTCTGAAAACAAGTGAGAAATGCTGATGGATGCAACGCTAGCATAATTTTTATTGGAATACTCAGACACCCATAATTTTGAGGTAATGGGCAAAAATATTGAAATATTTTTAATGAAAATTGATATTTTCTATTGATTTTCCAGCATATTTTCGACGAATAATTCCTTCTAAAGAACTCCTTTATCCGAAAATCAGGTGGGAATGGACTCTATGGACCCTTAGGCAACTTCCCTTCAAATTTGGAAAAAAAATCATATTTCACCTAAAATTGAATAAAAATGCAAGGGGTTAGTCTTACATTTTCATGAAAATTTGATCCCAAAATGACTTTTCTGAAAACAAGTGAGAAATGCTGTTGGATGCAAGACTAGCATAATGGAATACTCAGACACCCATAATTTTGAGGTTATTCACAGAAATATTAAAATATTCTTAATGAAAATTGATATTTTCGATTGATTTTCCACCATATTTTCGACGAATAATTCCTTCTAAAGAACTCCTCTATCCAAAAATCGAGTGGGGAATGGACTCTTTGGACCCTTAGGCAACTTCCCTTCAAATTTGGAAAATTACTTTTTTTTATCCAAAATTGAATAAAAATGCAAGGGGTAAGCCTTACATTTTCATGAAAATTTGATCCCAAAATGACTTTTCTGAAAACAAGTGAGAAATGCTGATGGATGCAACGCTAGCATAATTTTTATTGGAATACTCAGACACCCATAATTTTGAGGTAATGGGCAAAAATATTGAAATATTTTTAATGAAAATTGATATTTTCTATTGATTTTCCAGCATATTTTCGACGAATAATTCCTTCTAAAGAACTCCTTTATCCGAAAATCAGGTGGGAATGGACTCTATGGACCCTTAGGCAACTTCCCTTTAAATTTGGTAACATTTCATTTTTCACCCAAAATTGAATAAAAATGCAAGGGGTTAGCCTTACATTTTCATTAAAATTTGACCCAAAATGACTTTTCTGAAAACAACTGAGAAATGCTATTGGATGCAAGACTAGCATTTATAATGGAATACTCGGACACCCATAATTTTGAGGTTATGCGCAAAAATATTAAAATATTCTTCATTGAAATTGATATTTTCGATTGATTTTCCACCATATTTTCGACGAATAATTTCTTCTAAAGAACTCCTCTATCCAAAAATCGAGTGGAAATATTCGCTATGGACCCTTAGGCAACTTCCCTTCAAATTTGGAAAAATTTAATTTGTTATCCAAAATTGAATAAAAATGCAAGGGGTTAGCCTTACATTTTCATTAAAATTTGATTTCAAAATGACTTTTCTGAAAACAAGTGAGAAATGCTGATGGATGCAACGCTAGCATAATTTTTATTGGAATACTCAGACACCCATAATTTTGAGGTAATGGGCAAAAATATTGAAATATCTTTAATGAAAATTGATATTTTCTATTGATTTTCCAGCATATTTTCGACGAATAATTCCTTCTAAAGAACTCCTTTATCCGAAAATCAGGTGGGAATGGACTCTATGGACCCTTAGGCAACTTCCCTTCAAATTTGAAAAAAATCATATTTCACCTAAAATTGAATAAAAATGCAAGGGGTTAGTCTTATATTTTCATATAAATTTGACCAAAAAATTACTTTTCAGAAAACAAGTGAGAAATGCTGTTGGATGCAAGACTAGCATAATGGAATACTCAGACACCCATAATTTTGAGGTTATGCACAGAAATATTAAAATATTCTTAATGAAAATTGATATTTTCGATTGATTTTCCACCATATTTTCGACGAATAATTCCTTCTAAAGAACTCCTCTATCCAAAAATCGAGTGGGAATGGACTCTTTGGACCCTTAGGCAACTTCCCTTCAAATTTGGAAAATTAATTTTTTGTATCCAAAATTGAATAAAAATGCAAGGGGTAAGCCTTACATTTTCATGAAAATTTGATCCCAAAATGACTTTTCTGAAAACAAGTGAGACATGCTGTTGGATGCAAGACTAGCATAATAGAATACTCAGACACCCATAATTTTGAGGTAATGGGCAAAAATATTGAATTATTTTTAATGAAAATTGATATTTTCTATTGATTTTCCACCCTATTTTCGAGAGATAATTCATTCAAAACGACTCTTCTATCCAAAAATCGTGTGGGAATGGACTCTATGGACCCTTAGGCATCTTCCCTTCAAATTTGGCAGCATTTCGTTTTTCACCTAAAATTGAATAAAAATGCAAGGGGTTACATTTTAATAAAAATTTGACCAAAAAAAATGACTTTTCTGAAAACAAGTGAGAAATGCTATTAGATGCAAGACTAGCATAATGGAATACTCGGACACCCATAATTTTAAGTTAATGCGCAAAAATATTGAAATATTCTTAACGAAATTGATATTTTCTTTTGATTTTCCACCATATTTTCGACGAATAATTCCTTCTAAAGAACTCCTATATCCACAAATCGAGTGGGAATAGACTCTCGGGACCCTTACGCAACTTCCATTCAAGTTTTGAAAAAATTACATTTTTCACCCAAAATTGAATAAAAATGCAAGGGGTTAGCCTTATATTTTCATTAAAATCTGACCCCAAAAATTACTTTTCTGAAACAAGGGGAAATGCTTTTGGATGCAAGACAAGCATAATTGAATGACTTTTCTGAAAACAAGTGAGAAATGCTTTTCCATGCAAGACTAGCATAATTGAATACTCAAACACCCATAATTTTGAGGTAATGGGCAAAATTGAAATATTCTTAATAAAAATTGATATTTTTGATTGATTTTTGATTTTTGATTTTTGATGCTGTTTGATGCAAGACAAACACAATGGAATACTGAGACACCCATAATTTTGAAGGAATGGTCAAAATATTGAAATATTTTTTTAATGAAAATCGATATTTTCGATTGATTTTCCACCATATTTTCGACGAATATATCCTGCTAAGAACTCCTTCTAAATCCAAAATGCTGTTTACCTTTTCACGTTGACATAAAAAAATTCGGTAGTGATTCAATTTAATTCCTGTATGATGCCTGTGACAAGACTGCAGATAAAAGGCAAGTGTAAACTATGATTTTGACTATATTGCTGTGTAATGCTGACAGTAATAAAAAAGATGACACATATTTTTTGATAACTTTACTTTATCGTGGAAATAAGCAAAGATGTAGTTATTTATGAGTAATATCAAAGCGCAATTGGTCTCTATAAAATAACCACTCTCTCATATTTTGATTTGGAAAATATTAACTAATAATTTCATCTTTAAAAGGGTGTAAAAAAGTCATCAAAATTGGCTACGAATTTCCCAACCAGCACCTTAAATATTCACAAATTCATAATTCCATTTACAAAAAAATAGTTTAACTTTTAAAGAGCACAAGTAGTAATGTCACAGTTACAGTAATTTTCTGATCATATTTTGTTCAAAGAGGTAAATTGTGTACACCTGATTCTTTTACATGTACATGTTTTGCAATCTTCTAAGTGCAAATTTTTCTAAGACCTACATTATGAATATTTGGAATCAGTGAAAAAATACTGAAAACAATTGTTTATAAACGTATACAAATGTTACTATAAATTGTTATCATATTCAAATTGTATGCAAGTCTCCTGCATTGTTCAGAATTGTTATTGTACTAGTTTCGAAATGTAATGAAATAAATGACAAGTCTGAAAAAAAATCATTATTTGAACATCTTATAAAAGTTGTATTTTTTGGAACTGAATGTGAACTGAACTTGTTGTATAAAGACTTGAAATTTGGAAATCTCTCTCTATGCTCAAACCAATGATAGTTGTTTTGAAAAGTTCATAAATTTCACTCTTGTGATAGCATGTCAGTGTTCATACTTTTTACTTGTGAACCCTGTTTCCTCCACATATAATGAGTTGTAATTCGGGGATGACATTTCCTCTCCCTATACTACTAAAATTGTTTAAATTGCCCATACCCACCACTTATACAAGGGTGCTGGCGTCAACTCAATGTAGAAGTCTGACTTGATAGAGATTTCAAATTAACCAAAGACCAGTTCTTAATTCTGTACATTCCAATTCCAGCGTTATTAAAGGAAGTGTAATGTCCGTGACAGTGCCAATTAACCATGATATCTAATTAATGATTCAGATAAATGATCCAGAACTCCTAGTCTGTAATCTCCTTGACCATAACTATAGGACGGATGTATAAGATTTGAAAAAAAAAATACATTTTCAGGTTGATTCACTGAGATCTTAAGATCTCTGTCACGGACTTTACATAATGCTGGATTTACCCAAATGGAATGTACGTGCACTGATCATGGCCACAGACAATTCACTATGCTTTATGTGTCCACCATATTTTGGGAACAGAAATGAGCCGTCGCCAGCAACCTTGGATAGGGCCGCGAGAACAGACCAAACTCAAAACAGACGTAAAGCCCTACTACAGTCTATGCTTCAGCTACGATTGAGGCTTTATCGGACGTCGAGATGTAGAGGGCGTTGTCGAATCCCACTGGTGTCTCTGGAGTCGATGCAGCGTTGGCGTCGGCAGCTTTTGTGTTCAGGCTGTTACGTTTCAGGACAAAGACGACGATCATTACCACCAGCAGGACAAGGACTAGGATCCCCAAGACGATTCCCACGATGGCGCCGGTGTTCATACCTATCGGCAGAAAAACAGGACATTTTTCCTCACATGAATCTTTGTGGACCACAAGGCAATTGATTTAGTTATTTGATCGATCGATTGTTGTCAAATAACTCAATTCAGTTTTTGGTTCAATGGTTCAATTTGTCAAAACTATATTGAATAAGAATTGAAGGTTTACATGTTGAAGATATCAGTAAGACAAAGAAGGTTACGGTAGCACCATGTGACAAATCTCTGTTGTGAGTTTGTGAGGATCTGAACCGAGGGGTACTAAACATTTCGAACAAAATGCTCTCTGCCTCTCATCAGGAGACTGACGACGGGCAGAGTATACTTTCTAAAATGTTGAGTTAAAGGTTGAGTTTCCCTCGCTTCTTTTTAGTGCCTCAGAGCCTCATCACAAACTAACAAAAAAGACTTATCGTAGGGTGCTACTGTAAACCTTTATCTTAAAAACTATACTGGGAAAAATAAAGATTAAAATCAAGCTGGAAGTCTCATAAATGAAACTCCATCAAAACCAAAAGAGCAAAATACAAACACACATTGCAGGCAGAGCTATAATGATATTGTGATATGATATTGTGACGGCTACACTGGAAAGTTGGGAAAAATATCACGTACAAAAAAGACATCTATCGTCCGATTAGTTTAACTCGAAACCAAAAAGGGAATGATTTGCTCAAAAAATATATAATTGTGTATTTGTATAATATGCAGTCAGGAAGGTCATTAATGAAAAGCAGAAGTTGAAAACAACCAATTCGCTCTTTACATGCTCCGCCATCAGCATGCAATGGATCTGGCAACTTTACACAATAAAAATAACAGCTTTAGTGATTCCTGTGTTTACATGGGAATCACTGAACCCCGACGCGGGAATCACTGAACCGGCTATATGTATTGTTTAATGTTGCCGGATCGAGGCTCTGCATGCTTATGAAAAGAGCGAATGCCAGTGGACTCCAGTTTCCTTTAGCAAAGACCCTTAAATGTCTGGTGCTATAATGTCTAGTGCTATAATTACAAACCATCCTTCTGACAAAAATGCGATCACTGAATCTCAGTATTTATCATATTCTTCAAACAAGGCACCTGCAGTCCAGTCGTAATATTTTTTATTGATCTTACCTCCAGTTTGAGCTGACTTTGTAACTTGGGGTTCTTTAGTAGAATTTGTCACTAGGAGAAATGAAGAAAAAAAAATAGATTAACATATTTTTTTACTGCAGAATCTAAAGTCCAGCGGCTGTCCTTTCTTAAAGACCTAGGTTTCTCACTTTCTATTATGCTCAATTGCTCATATCATGCAAATTCAGCTGATAATTACTCTTATTTTTTTCACAACACATTGGGCTTTGAGCTAAGTTGTAAATTACATTTTAACTTTTGCACGAATACATTTTAAAAAATAGTGCAGTGCAATTCACGAATGTAGCACTCATATTTTTTCCCCTACTTTTGGCAAATTTGTCTTGTGTGGAGATTGTCATTGTATTGAAAATGCTGATTCAGTTTTTGTCATTTACTTTATCACTGTGGTCATTTATAGTTTAATGAATGACTGACAATTTTTGGGGACTCACTTTGCGGCATTTTGCAGACGTAATCCTGCGGATCAGTGCACTGCTCATCATTCCACAGGCCATACTCCTTGGGATACATCTCCACGCACATTTCACTGGCGCTGTTTGGTTCGCCTTCTTTCCAGAAGACAAAGTCCACTGGCGTACCGTCGGTCCACTCCAAACCTGCGGAGTCAATCAGGCCAACATGTGTTCAGGCCAAGTGAGAATTGGAAACACACGAGTTTGACAGAAAATTTCTCTAATCGGCCGAGTTAGGGTGTGTCGCCTTCCTTACTTTTTAGTAGAGGGAAACATTGTTTGCTAATTACGTTCTACTCCCATCGCTTGAATAGTTAATACTATAACTATAGGCATGGGATATTTTGAATGGCTGCCACAATAACCGATACTACAACAACAATCTCTCTTTGAGAGATTCTTAACTAGTGATGGACCGTATTTATTTATGTGGTCCGTCTCGTGATGGACCGCATGAAATGACTGACAATACTGTTTACGGATCACAAACAGGTATGTGATCTTCCAGCAAAACGAAAACAAATCTCATTGGGATGTGTGTGAATTGTTGATGTTTTGCTGAAAGAACACACACCTTTTTTGGTGATCCATGGACAGAACTTTAAAATGGTGGTTGTGTTTAAAATTTTGCAACTTGAAAAGTACATGAGTGATTTGAATGATTCTTGTACTAAAAGAAAGCTTATGAATTGGGCTTGCATATCGTAGATTTTGAAAATGCTACATGCAGAACTTCACTTAAACGATAGTCCCGACATTTAGGTTTCATTGTTTTTTTACTCAGCCTATATTTCCTTCCCCCATGGGTTGCAAGTCCTCAAAAAAATAAGCTAATACAGGTACCCATTCACACTACCGGGTGGGGAGACGCAAGTAGGGTAAAGTGGCTTGCTCAAGGACACAACATTTGGCCTGCATCACTATTCAAACCCCTGACCCTCTGATCACGAGTCACGAACCCTAACCACTCGGCCAGACTGCCTCACTCTCCACGCACAGACGTCTTACCTTGTTGTCCCTTCTGGAGACCGATCCACAAGCCGTAGGTGAGGGTGGGCGGAGCCACATTGTCCTTGATGAAGGAGTTCTCCTGTTCGGAGTGAATACTGGCCAGCTGAGCCCCGAAACCTTCGCAGTCGACCTTGGCGTCCTGGAAGGATCCCCTGGTGTAGGTGGGATCAAACATGTAACAGTCTTGACCGAACGCCTTCCAGCCGTCGGGGCAGTAGCCCTTGGGTGGGACCACAGTAGAGGGGGGCTTGGCTAAAATTGATAGGAAAAAAAAGAAGCTTCAACCCAGTGACCATATGAAAAATGCGAAATTGCTGGTTCACTAATATTGTGTATTTTTAAATTTTATTTTGTTCTTTTCAAGCAATAACATTTCTTGAAATCTTGAGAAGGGTGCATGACAAGTTGACAACTATCTTGTTGAAGTTTTAGCTCAGTGGATACAACACATTTTGAGAAAGCAGAAAATGTATGCACAATTATTTGGTTCTCGTTACTGGATGCAATTCGGGCAATTCACAATGCAGTGCGCCACCAAGAGTTTGCCATGGAGATTCTTTTTTTTGAAATTTACGGTCGACAAAACATGGCCCAGTCAAATGACTGGCGGTACACAACTTTAGCTTATTTGTTAGAAATCGGGGCATAGCGTTCTGCGGCTTAATACAACATACCATATTGATAAAAAGAAAAGAAAAGAGCAAACATATACTTGAATCATACGCTTACAAAACTACTGACCGGACGAACAAACAATAACAAATGTCTCGCGCTGCGACTGTTTCGACCATTTTCCAAAATGCACGTGACAAACTCTTGGTGGCACACTGCATTGTAAAACACCTAAATTGCAAATAGGGCCTACATGTTAAAGCTGTGTCTAATATATAGGCATATTTTCTTAAAATACCTTAAATGACTGTTTTCTTCAGGATGATACCATTTCAGACGGAATATTTGCACAGGGTATTTGGTACCCGTCCTATCTTCACTTTAAGCGAAGATTTTTCTCGTTAAATGGGTAGCTAAGTTTCGGGGTAATTGCCAATGTTCTACGGGTCTTTAAAAGGAATGACATTTAAGACAGAACGTGTCCTGGATATTCAGATTCCCTTTTGATGAGATTGGAAAACTGTATGCGAGGTCTCATGAGCAGCAAAATGATTGAAACAACGTAGCAGCTTTTCCACGACTTACTCGAGTCATACTTGCAGATGAATGGTTTCTGAGCCGTGCAGAGCGTATCATCCCATCGTCCGTCTGCGTTTGTCATCACGCAGCCCTCCCCGTCACCGCCCGATGGCTCGTTCTCGCCCCATGCCGAAAACAACACAGGCCAGCCGTCCACCCAGCCGTAACGATGTGTTGTCTGTGGGCACATGATAATACATCAGACAAATTTAACACAGGACAATGTCTGCTTTCGTTTTGGCCTTCAACAACCATACATTTTTGGGTTCTAGATGCTCTGTGGTGCAATCTGAGGCAACTTCTGACCACTTTTACCATTTTTTGGAGGAAAAGATGGTAGTGTACACAGTGCCTGCCCAAAAATTGGGATCGTTGATGAGGGTCGGGGGTGGGGCATGGCCCCCGTATGCCCCCATTGCACCCCCCGGACCCGCCCTTGGGACTCACTGGTAGTTTTGTGCGTGCCTACATGAGGATTGGGGACGTTCAACCAATAAAACGGTGAAAGGCACTGGATTTCATATAGGAGTCCAAATTTCGTGTGACACTGGAAAAGTGTTTAAGACAAACCAGCTGGTCTTTATCAATCGTTAAAACCAGCCACGTGACGGGCTCTCAACCAGTAGGAATAGCTATTTTTTAATTAGAGTTTCGAAGTTCTCTTCATTTACCGATGAAAAAAAAAAAATTCTCTTTCCTTTTAAAATTTCTTTTAGACAGTGGGTTAGGAATTGAGTTTTGAATTGCAAAATTTTCACAAAATCATTTTATTAAAATATTTGTATTTTCGAAACTCACCCTATCCAGTTCCATACCGATCCACATCTGGTCGATATTCTCAAAGGCCATCATCGTTTCTACCAGGGCTTTCTCAAAGTTGTCCTTGACGGACGCCAGGTAGATGCCATCCATTTCGGCTTGGCACTTCGCCTTGGCTTCGGCGAAGCTTAGCGGTTGATCGTTGAAGAGTTTGAAGCACGAGGTGCCGTAGCTGAAGTAGCCTTGCTTGCAGTCGCTGTAAATGTCTGGGTTGTAGTCGTATTGGGGATCTGGAAAGGAGTAATTTAACACACATTTAAAGTCAGTTTGAAATGTCAAGATATGAAGTGAGTTAAGAATTTGCTGATTCTCGTGAATGTAGTTCTAACTCTACATAGCAAAAGGTCTCTCTTGCAGAAAACTCCACCAAAATCATAGCCAAACTCATAGCCAGTTTCAAGCATTGCGGTGAATTGTCCAGTAACTCTACTGTGAAATCCGTGAAGCCGTCTGACATACGTGAGTCGCTGAATTGTAAACTGCTTTAATATTAACAAGCTTATGTGGATCTGGAGAGTTATATTTTCAAAAGGGGATTTAACTCCGAGAACTAGATATTTGAATCTGAATCTGCGGAGCCATCAGTGGTACAGGAGGTGACTATGATTTGTTCTTTAATGATCCTCACTGACTTTACACGGCATGGATTTTGTGCAAAAGTTTTTTTCTTCAAAGTTCTGAGAAAAACACTGTGTCTTTGGGAAAAGTCATAATAATGGCTCTAATAGAAACCTTTTAATATAATAATAATATCCATAAAGGGGGAAGAACCTGTGTTCACAGGAACGGAGTGCCCATCTCTCTTTCGAAGCAATTGGGCCAGACTCGAGTCCATGAAATGCTGCTGTGGGGGGATCGCCACACCTCCTCCACAGCGAGTCTGTTACCTTCCCAGCATTGAATAATACCGGTACCCATTTAACACCTGGGTTGAAAGGAGTAATTGAGGTAAAGCGCCTTACTCAAGGGCACAACACGCATAGCCACGGCGGGGCTCGAATCCACAATCTCAGATCATGAATTCTGTGCCCTAACGCTCGACCACACGTGCCCACAAATAATATTTATATCCAGAGGTGACTTACCAACATCCATCATACAGGCATAGCCGTATTTGTCATCACACAGGACGTCGTCCCACACACCGGGGTGGATCGGGTTCCTTGACATCTTCACACACTCGTCTCCGTCCTGCAGGTTAGGGAACCAAACCAACCAATTCATGTCTTCTGATAATACAAAAGGGACGATTATAACCAGGTGCAGATGTGGATTTAACATCTAGGGCAGGAGTAATGATTTCAATTAACAGCGCATACTCAGTCAAATCTTGTTTTGTTAAACTTTGCCGCTATCACGAATCCGTCAGCCAGACTGACCATGTATGAGTGTATACCAGAGGGTCAAACTATGTGCCTTGTGTTTACCCAAAACAAAGACTGTGTGAAATGTTTTTGAATGGCAAAGCCTTTTTCAAAAAGGATTACTTTGAAGGGTTTTGCAGTGTGTAGTAACTCTATTGGACAGAAAGTAAGGAAAAAGTAATGAAAAAGTAATGAAAAAGTAAGGAAAAAGTAAGGGAAAAAGTAAGGGAAAAAGTATCATAATGAGGAAAAGTATGGGAAAAGCATGGGTGGGAAAAAGTAAGGGAAAAGTATGGAGGAAAGTATGGGGAAGTATCAGAGAAAGTATTGGAAAAAGTAAGGAAAAAAGTATAATGGGGAAAAGTATGGGAAAAAGTATGGGAAAGGGTGCGAGAAAAAGTATGGGGAAAGCATGGGGAAAAGTAAGGGAAACGTATGGGTGGGAAAAAGTAAGGGAAAAGTATGGAGGAAAGTATGGGGAAGTATCAGAGAAAGTATTGGAAAAAGTAAGGAAAAAAGTATAATGGGGAAAAGTATGGGAAAAAGTATGGGAAAGGGTGTGAGAAAAAGTATGGGGAAAGCATGGGGAAAAGTAAGGGAAACGTATGGAAAAAAAGTATGGGGGGTGAGTAAAGTACACGAAAAGTATCAAGAAAAGTATGGGAAAAAGTATGGTGGAGGTACGGGAAAAAGTATGGGAAAATAATGGGGAAGTACAGGGAAGAGTACAGGAAAACTATGGGAAAATGTACTGAAAAAAAAGAAGAAATCTATGAGAAAAAGTGAGGGGGGGGAACATGGAAGGATTTTTAAGGGTTAACCTACATCATCCAACAGGCTAGGGTTTTGGCTCATCCAGTTGGTGTATTCTAGTGAGCCACCATCCACCCAGTAAAAGCGAAGCCCAGCACCACGATCACTCAATCCAATCCACACATCAGTGGGGTAGAAGTACATCAGGGCTGTCAGTAAGGCTGTTTCAGGTTATTGGAAGAAGGAATTTTCAAGTTTTCAGATCAGTTTTCGTTTTTGTACAAGATGAAGAAATCAAGAAAAGAAGATGATGAAGACATGCACACAGCATGAGAAAACAAAGAAAGATAACATGAGTATCAGACGTACTATTTTGCCTTAATGGAAATTAAGTTTTTATCTTTGACTAAGAACAAGATTTTCTGACAAAGAATAAAAATGGACAGATGAAGCGAGGGAAGAGGATTCTTTTAAGCAAAAACGTTGAAAAAATTAATTAATTATTGCTCCACTGTGGTCTTTTTTAAACATTAATAAGTACCTCAAAAACATCTTTCAATTTAGTGGAAAAAATCTTGCACAAATTTAAGGTACATAGGGATGGTACCAAATACCCTGTGAAATTATTCCCCTGGCAATGGTTTCGATGAAAGGAAAACAATAATTGAAGGGTGGTTTAAAAAGTATGCCTGCGGGCTCACACTTTTATATGCATTATCAGCGGATTTTAGTAGAGACCACAAATTGTCCTTACGTTTTCTATGTTTTTCCATAATTGTGGAAGCCACTGAGTTAAAACCTCAACAAATTAGTTGTTATGTACCCCACTTCAGATTTTGAGCAATTTGTTTGTCCTTAAATGAAAAAAAAAATCACAAAGAGGAACTTAACCTATGTACCTAAATAATTTGATTCAATTTTTTAAAACAATCGAATGAGATATGAGGTAGTTCTACAACAGATGTTCTGAAGGAAAGTTGTCAAGTTTCTTACACTGGACATCGTGGGACGGAATGGTCACCAGTTCGCCGTCCTTATACTTCCTGCATTCCTGTCTGGCCTCGTCGAATGTCTTCATATCCTTCTGCTCGTCGAAGATCTGGTAACATTTGCTGCCCATCTTGATCCAGCCGTCCATGCAGCCGCCCTCCTTGGGCGTGGTCGGGGCGTGGGTGACCGGGCCTGTGGAGCCGTCTGACTTCATGCAGATGAAAGGCACGGCTTCGCCGCAATTCTCGTCGTTCCATGTCCCGTCTTTGAAGATACAAAAACAAAGACAACAGGAGTAAAAATACTGTCAAGGACTTGAACTTTTTACTGATTTGACAACCACAAGGCCACAAGAGGTTGCAGCTACATGTACATGAAGGACGAACAAAACATTCAATTAACGTGAAAACAACAATTGAATTTATGTATTTCATTTTGTAATTCTTTCTGGTAATGAAACCAATGACTCTTCATCAGTACAGACCAATGACCATGGGCGTCGCCACGTTTTTTTTCTAGAGGGGGCAAAGCACATGTTTTCCCCAAAATCCTTATATTTTCCAGCATTTCCCCAATTGATCATTTGTTTTCGAGGTGGGCAGGGACATTTGCCCCTCCCCCGACCCAGTAAATTAACAACAATATGATATTGCGCCTTTTTTTTCTTTCCCCCCCCCCTTTTTTGTTTGTTTATTTGTTGTCCAGGGGGCCCATTGCCCCCCTCGCGACGCCCATGCCAATGACCCTTCGTCAGTTGGAAGCTTGCAATTTAGCTGTAGTGTAGCTTGATATTAACAAGTAATGTTTTCTACCAGGCTTGAGCTCCGCACACTGTTCTGACCCGCCTCCATCATTCGGTTCGTTGGGCCTCCATCTGGTGTAGTCAACAGCCGAACCGTCACACCACCTGCGATATAAATGAAGAGACAATACTTGTTACTCATGGGACGAAGAAAAGTGCTTTGTTATATTTTGGTGAAATGCTAGAGGGTCTTTACCCCCCTACCATAAATTTTGTCTAGCCCCGGCCCCCCCCCCCCAAAAAATGTTCATTCAAAAATGGCAGTAGCAATATGTTAGAAGGTGACGTAACATGCAAACGGTATCCCCTAGAAAAAAAAGTGAGAAGGGGGCATTTATACACTATTAGTTAATATAGTGTGCATGATTATAGTATTTTATCAGTGCTCCCCACTGAAAATATGGTACGAGCTCCCCCCTCCCTCCCACCTATTGATTTTTCAGAGGCCTAAGTGTACGGAGCAAATAACCGGTCGACATTTCGGCACGCCTCCCTGCAAAAATCTCTGGATCCACCCTGCAAGCCCCCCCCCCCATAAAAAAATATATATAGGCTCTAGAACCGCGCCTGGTGTTAAATAAAGGCACTCTATTGAATCATTAATGGACTTATTTTGTGCCAAAAATTTAAACTATCGATAAAATTAGGAGAGCTCAAAAAGCTCTACGAAAAGTTTTGACAATACTGGCCATTTCAGAACAACATCACCTTGTAGCCGAAAACCCTTTTAAAAAGCCATCAAATAAAACCAGACAGTTTAAATGGAATCCCGTAGCTTACTTATAGTCGCCTTCTACGGCGTATTCTCGAAGCCCAATCCAGTAGCTCTGACCGACCAAATTGTCGCCGATCTAAATGATCAAGAAGAGAATATGAAACGTTCTTCAGGAAACGGCTTTCCAACACTATAAGTATTTTTCATTTCTGATGTACAGCGTGAATTATAAAATGTGGGGTTTTTTTTGGTTTTATTGTTATATTTTCTGTATTCAAGTTATATTCTGTGTTTTGTGTATGATTAGTAAAAATAGGGAAAAAATGAAACCAATAGTGCACCTGACACAAAACCTAACAATGGGAGCATGAAATTATTTTTTTTAATAAAAACAATCACCCTTTAGTTTAACTGCGGGCCCAATATCTAGGCTCTGCATACCGTTAGTGAAAGATCCCTGCTTAGTGTAGAAGAAAATTCCGTGCTCATGGTAAGCATATTTCACGGGTTAGCAAGGAATTTTGACATCTGCGCATGGGTACATCTCGTAACTAAGGATTCTGTGCTGATATGGTTAGCACAGAATTTTTCAGCTATCGCGGTTAGCACAAAATGGTGATCATAAGCGCGGAATTCTGTTGTTAGCAGAGCCGTGAAATTGGGCCCTGTTATAGCCTGCATGCTGATTCCAATATAGAATACATTTTGAATTGTGACTTAACAATAGTTTTTAGGGTCTAAATTCAACAAAAGAAATATAAAGTAACAGCAGAAATAAAAAATCATAATTATTAGGGAATGATTTCTACCATATTGGTACTTTAATGGCACTTCACACTGCTTCCCCCCACCTTAGGCCTATTGAAAAAAAGTAGGTTATAAGGAATTTGATATAAAATGAGATACCTACCAGATTCAAGATGTAATTGTTGTCATCCTCGCTGTGAATGGAAGCCAGATGGCCGCCTCTCTCGTGGCAGAATTCCTCGGCCTGGTTCCAGTCTCTACGTTCCTGCGCCAGTAGGCTGACATAGTAGCAGTTGGAACCCTTCAGGTACCAGTCTGGAGTGGAGGGACACCCCTTCTCTGAAATTTGGAGAAAAAGAAGATTATATGTTGTTTTTGCTATCGTTTCGGTTTGCGGTAACACTATGTGGTAATAACAAATACAACATGGTTTATTTCTGGAAAATAGTTGGAACTACTGGTCAGCTTCGCGTCGGGAGGTAGTCAAGCTGACCTACACCTCGGGACCAGTAATTCCCGCTACTTCCCCTCAAACCATGCTGTATTTGTATATTGTCGCTCAGTAGATATTTATTTCTGATGTGAACAGTCCTGCTTTAAGTTTTAAAAGAACTTGTCTTTGGTCTCAACGTTTCGACTAGCCTTCATCTCCGACTGAGGAGAGTTGGAGATGCTACTCCTTAAGTAGGCTGTGTTAGGATTGGGAGTGCTTATGATGGTAGATTCTATTTGGTTGTTATGTTGGGCATTATTGTGTTGGAGTGAGACGCCCATGGTGTGTCCTGCTCCATCAGGTGTGCCAGTTGGCTGTGTGCCCTGGGCATTGTGTTTGAGTGTTGTTTTTGTTATCTTCTCTTCTGAAGTTAGGTAGGCACAATAGTTACTGTCCTTGAACTTTTGTGAACCAGGGTTCGAATCTCACCCAAGGACAAAAGTTATTTGGTTTCCAGTCCCTGCCTGATCCCCTATATCTATAAGTGGTTTCTCTTTCCATATCTCAATCAAATAGTTTTTTACACTGTCTTCCCTCTACAAGTTTTCTTGGGCCAATTTTGAGGTACAGTGCTTTTTGCACTAATCAGATGTAACGTTATTGTAATGTCAAAACATGATGGCTTCCTCTTTTATGTTATTTTATCTGGATTTTACATAGTCTTCTGCAAATTTCCTTTGATATTTTACTTACTCGTGAATGGTGTAGTAGGTGGACGAACAGGAACATCTACAAACAATTGATAAGAACGAAGAAGCGCTGAATTACTAAATACAAGTTGTTTAATTTTCAAATCTGCCCTTAGTGCATGTAGCAAAGTAGGAATTGAATAAGAAAAGAATGAAGGAATCTATTCTGATCAGAGCTAGGAATCAAGTAAAATAAAGCACAAAGGATCAAATGCGGTGGAGGATAGACCACAAAATTCTTCGAACCAATACTACTCCTGACTAAGTTAATCACTCATTAATCAACCTAGAAGATGTTTTCAAGGACTAAAAAGTCATCTCTATTTTTCAGGTATTTTGTTGTGTTTGTCGCTTACTCTTTTCTACTCCACAGATCCAGTGGCGCTGGGCATCACAGGGGATGTCGTTCCAGCCCCGGCCGGGGTTCAGAAAGGCCTCCCCGCAGTTCTCATTTCCGCCGGCGTTGTTCGGCTCACCACTACCCCAGTTCTCATACTCAACTGCACTGCCGTCACTCCACTCAAATCCTGGAAAAACAAAACACATTCACCGAAATAAAACTCACCTGTATTTATAAATTATAACACTTTGCCTTTCACTTGGATAATTACTTTACTAATCAATTTTGGAGAAATGGGCTGCACTATTTAGTCATTAAGTCACATTCAAAACAGTTATTTAATTTTTCTGAATAAATTTCAAAATTTACCAAATGTACCATTTTTATCTGACTTGAAACAGAATTGTAGACATGGGCGTCGCCAGGATTTTTTCTAGAGGGGGGCAAATTTTTTTTTTGCCCAATAAATGCTTGTATTCCTCAACACATTCTCGATTTATCAGTTTTAGAGGGGGCAGGGACATTTTGCCCCCCCCGACTCATTAAATTTACACCACTTTGTCTTCGCGCCTCTTTTTTTTTTTTTTTGCTTTTCCAGGGGGGGGGGGGCAAGTGCCCCCTTGCCCCCCCCCCTCGCGACGCCCATGATTGTAGATAATGATTTCTAAAACATTACCTACTGCATTCTCTATTGTTTTACACAATTCGTCGTTTGTGTCAAAACATCACTATATTTGAAGTCACAGTATTTATACTAGTATTCAACTTGTTTTATTTTCATTTATCCAACCTAAAGAGAATGTTTTTCTATTCCTCAATGAAAACGTAAAGCAAATTTGCAAAATAAAATGTTGCCATTTCACATGCTGAAAAACATAAAGATAATTCATTCTAAGGAGAAGGCGTGGCATGATGACTTACCCCCCTCATTGACTTGATCGTTGAGTCCTATCCAATAGCCATAAGCGTTGTCGGGAGACCTGTATTAAATGAAAAGAATGACTGAAATGACAAAACTGTGTTGTTGCTCAATTAAACATGGCTGCAAGGACTAAAATCATGAATCAAGAGCCTGGCGCTGACAGTGCAGGCAAAGTTGAGATCTCCAAAACCTCTTCAGGATATTTTGTCTGACAATGAAAGAAAAAGACGGTAACTCACTGAGCTAAGAAGCTGTTGATGATGTATGTTTCTTCCTCCGGGGAGTGGTAAGCAGCCAGATCACCCTCCGAGTTGTCAGTAAGCTCCTTGCAGAAGGTTCGGGCGTCATTCCAGGTCAGCCTCTCTCCGTCGGAATTAGCTTCATAAATCTGGTCAAAACAAATGAAATATAGAATGTAGGAAAGAAAAAAAAATGGAAGAGAAAGGTGAATTATGGACCAAGCATCATATATGAAAATTTCCATTTGGTATCGTGTCCACAGTTTGAGTGAAGACAGCATATCAGCCCAAATGTAGAATTATTGATTTTGACTGTAACTCCACTAACTTTTTACTAAGTGTACACATTTGTGAAGCAACATTTTATGCTTAAAAATGAATCCATGAAAATTGGGGCCTAGCCTTGTGCAATACTCAATTTTGTAAAAAAAAATTAAAAATATTGAAACCGTGGATTTTTTAGTTGTATTTTTCTCCTTTTTTTTTGAAGAGAGCTGGGAGTCTGGCGTGGTGGTTACTTTCCTCGCCTTCCACCACTATGGCCTGGGTTCGATTCTTGCCCTGACCACTTGTGGATTGGGTTTTCAGTCCCTACCTTATTCTGTGGATTTACCCAGAGGTTTTCCTCCCACCTCTGAAACCGTTATCTCTTCTCATTCTTTACCCTCTTCAGGTTTCTTCAGGCTTGCGAGCTACTGGTACAAGGCACACTTTTGATGAATCCTTAGTTTCATTACCAGAAGAAATAAAATAAACATCTGGGAATTTGTCTTTACCTTAAAGCAGTGATTGGTGTATCCAATCCAGCCCGGCTGGCAGCCAATATTGGTTGGGTTGGTCACGACACCAGGGGGCGCCATTGTTGTGTACCCGGGCCTGTTGGACTCGCACACGTAGGGTAGGGCCGACGAGCAGGCCGTGTTGTACCAGTAGCCAGCTGCGGGGGCTCCGGAGTTGATCGAGACACACCGACCCGAGGAAGCATCTGTATGCGAGACATCAACATTGAAAAGTCAAATCAAGTTCACTGGAAAAACACATTAAGTAGAACAAATTTTTCAGTGACGAACACTTCCCTTATACTTCAAAATGAGAAGCCTCATTAGTTTGGGCTCAGGGAGCACAGTTATATTCTATGGCATACTTGTAATTTTTGGGCCATTCAACAACTTCTTTGACCTATTCATTCACACTACAAGCGAGGACAAGATACAAAATTTCTGTAGTTTTTCCTGATTTTTGGTGTTTTTCTCCAAAATTCTCTAATTTTTCCATGACTAGAACAATGAAAACTTTTTTTTTTCAAGGTTTTCCCTGATTCCCAGAGTGGCTGGGAGCCCTGGTCGACGTTTCGATCAGTATGATCGGATCATCTCCAGCTGAATTGAGTTGAATTATCAACTGCCAGCAACTGACCAGGTTGTAACTGTCCCCAGTTGGAGTAAGTGACCGAGGACCCATCAATCCACTCGTACAGTCCGGCGGTAGCCTGGGTGCTGAGGCCGATCCATACATTATGTCCGTGGGTTTGAAGACCAACTTGGGAACTGACGTAACCAGCATCGTATCTGAAGAAAGACAGATACTAATGAATAAAGACTGTATTATCTTATTTTAGAAAGTTGAACAAAGAAATTGACTGGATTGGGGTTTGTACCTACGACCTCCAAGTTATCATTCTGGTGTCTTCCAATTGAGCAATCCAGCCTTATGTTGGCGGTTCTCAATTTTGTCAATGTCTTTGTTCAAGGGGCGCTAGTCAGAAGCCAAAAACCAGTATATGCCATGTAGCCAGGCATGAGGCATCACGCCTTCAGTCACGAGGCTAGCATCATTAGCAATGCTACAAACCTGTGAAATGGCAAACGGGGATCATTCACAGAGGATACAGCTGTTGTTGTTTCAATGAAGACAAATTGTATCTGATGCACAGCAGAGTTGTTCTGTCACCAGAACTCAATCACAAATGGATCAGATATCATCAAGTATCAAGTCAAGTCACATGCTATATTCACATGGGCATCGTTAGATTTTTTTCTAGAAGGAGGCAAAGCACATCCCCCCCCCCCCCGAAATCCCTGTACTTTTCCAGCATATTCTCGATTTATAATTTTTCGAGGGTGGGCAGGGACATTTGCCCCCTCCCCCAACCCATTAAATTAACAGCAATATGACTTCGCGGCTCTTTTTCTTTCTTTTTCTTTCTTTTCCCCCTCCTTTCCCCCCTGCTTTTCCAGGGGGAGGGGAGCAAGCGCCCCCTTGCCCCCCCCCCCTTTGCGACGCCCATGGCTATTCAAATAAATTGTGACAAAGGCATTGCTTTGTTATTCTTTATCCTCTGTTACTTTTGATTTGACTTTTTGACAAGACTTGAATGGAACACAGAGATCTAGCGATGTGATGTGGTCAGTCTTTACAAAACAGATGTCATCGGATAATATAGTGCGGCAGAAATAACTGTAAGTGAATCAACATTTTTTGTTAACCATTTCAATGACCCCTCCCTCACAAGAAAAGTTAAAAAAAAAACACATTGTAATCTGAAGAGCACTGGACTCAAGCTTTGGTGTTTCTGATCGGCAGAGTGGGAGTTCGAGTCCCGGTCATGACACTTGTGTCCTTAAGCAAGACACTTAACCATTATTGCTTCGTCCTTCGGTTGGGACGTAAAGCCGTAGGGCCCGTGCATTGTATAATGCACGTAAAATAACCCAGTAACACTTATCGCTACAGTGTGTCTGGCAGTGCGCGTATCTAAAGCCATAAAATCTGCACTTGTAAGGAAAAGAAGAAGAAGAAAAAATTCAGCTATCAGGCCAAGACTCACATGTGACTGACTGATGCAAGGTGCCCGCCCATGCTCGCGCAGTTCGTCTGCGCGTCGTTCCAACTTCTCGGGGTGGTCTCAAACTTGTAGCACGAACCTAAATAAGCCTGCCAGCCCTGTGCCGATTTGCAAGAGAAAAACAAGTGGCAATCATGAATTTGTGTCACTAGATATTTACGATTGCAACATAACATGGTGCCTTAGAGGACACTTTGATCAATAGTCCCATACTTATATTTTATCAAGCATAAAGGACTAGCGGCAAAGCGGAAAATTTCGATCAGAAACCTTACCGACTGACATCCTGTGTTCAGGGGAGGAGTGCCCGATGGTCCCTTGCGGATCTTGCAGACGGAGGGATAGTTAAAGCCTGTGCACGGCGAATCATTCCATTGACCCTATACGAGTAGAAGTAAACATCAAAGTATGTCAGTATCGATGGGCAAACTTAAGCTAAAATTAACAATTTAACTTTGTCTTTATGAATGATGTGTATCATGAAGAAAACGTTGGCTTTGCACTTTGAAACCAGCCAGACAATACATTTGCTGGCAATGTTTTAATCTTATTTCAAAAGAAAATTATTCAGCGATTTCCTCTGATGGCATTTATAACGGTGTTGACAAACATATTTTACTGAGAAGAATTAAGCGATAAATTAGCGTCATATTATTTCTCATTTGTCGGCTACCAAATAATATGTTTTTTTGCCATATCTCAGTATGCGTTCGTACATTCGTGATTTTGGGCGCTGCATCCAAATACATTTCAATCAAATCAAACCCTCTGGCCTTATGTATAAGCTGCGAACTTTGTTTGAAATGACCCACTAGGTTTTACTAAGTTTTAAAAATATTTTCATGAATAAAAATATGGAATAATCATTAAATAAATTCAAAGGCTACAAATGAATTCAGATGTTATTAAACATTACCTGTTTAAACACTATATTATAACGGTTACCAAAAAGAAACAGATATGCAATTCTCGAAAAAAAATATCAACAAAAATGAATAATTACATCGTTCAAGTACATCTCGACACAATCTTCGTTGCCAGAATTGTTAGGCTCGTAGTAGGCCCAGTTGGTGAAGGTGACGTCACTTCCGTCCAGCCATTCATAGTACATCTCCTGGTTGAGATCGCTCATACCGAGCCACGCGCGTTGCTCGTCTTGGTACGTCAGAACTAAAAATGAAGCGATAGACTGAAAGCTTTACAAAACTTCGTAGTTGCCTGGGAAAACGGACGTCTTCAATTTATTTTACAAATGGGGAATGGCATATGATTTTTTGGCGTTAAAATGATGTTCTCTTTTTGGGTTTGGCCCTCGACACATTTTGATAATGAGCACTGTGCTGTTCCACAGCTCATGAGAAAAAAAGATAGTCTTCGAGATCATTATGATCGGATTATCTCAAGCTACCTTAAGAAAAAAAAGTTCAAAGAACCAAGGGAAGACTTTAACGGATAAATATGGTAAAACACAATGGCGATTTTAATGATTAAATAAACAAAATGAATAACACCGAGTACATTAACGGAATGTTAGTTGGAAAAGCTGGTTTTATTTGTGTACCAAAACCCCACACATTTGTAACTTTAATAAGTAAATAAAGTATTTTTTTTTACAGCAACTCTATTTCAAGAATGTGTTGTTTTTCATCTTTAAGGTATTTGTGTATTTTACCATTAATATATACTAGGAATTAATTTTCATTTTCACGCCAGCTTTGCTGATTTTATCAATACAGTAGTTTGCCCAATGAATTATGCAGTTATTTTTAAAAATAGTTGAACAATGAGATTGACTAAACGGAGTTGGAACCTGCGACCACTGGATTGTCGTTCCGGTGCTCTACCGACTCAGCTATCCAGACCTATGTTGTCGGTTCCCCAACTTTGTTCAAAGGGCGCTAGTCAGAAGCCATATATACATTCGACATCAAAAGGATTTTGAAAATATATTCACATGTGTCCTGAACACACATTATTTTTGTCCTTCATTAAGAACACCCATTGGCGATTGACATAAACAAATAAAATCACCAAAATGAATGAAACCAATTTCAAATAGACCAATTCATTGTTTACCTTGATTCAGTGCACTCATCACAAAATTGTTCTCGTTCATGTTAGCGATGGAGGCCAGGTTGGCTCCGCCCATCATTTGGCAGAGGGTCTGGGCCGTGTTGTAGTCGGCCGTGTTCTGCTGGACACGGTAGCAGTTATCGCCGTACGGCAGCCAGTCATCGCTCGGGCAGTTGTAGGTGGGCGGGACGGAGGTGGGCGGCATATCGGTGGTGGCTGTGAAATCTTGACATGGAGAACAAGGAAAATTATCATTGTTCTTATAGGTAAATGCTTACAATAACCGATCATTTTATTGTTTATAAAGTTTAGAAAAATAGGTATAATCCTGTGAATAACGTGCATTCATGGAGTTATACTGTTTATGCCTTTTTTGATAGCTTAAAAAGAGACAAACTTTTAAATTGGATATCTAAATTGTGACCTGTATGAGACATTGAACGGACTAAATGTCTTTAATTGGACAAATCCATGACATGATTAGGCCCTATTGTTAGAAGAGTGTTGATTATGTCGTAAATTGGTATACAATACGATATAACAATTGCTTATATGTGACAGTCACTTAGAATCTGGCTTCATTTTCTTGTAAGAAAAAAAATGTATTTATCAGAATTTGCCAATTTAGAAAAACTTTTTTCTTAGTGTTGAAACTTTGCCGTTATATTTGGCCCTAATACCCCATTTATCAACGTTATTTTTTACGGTATATTTAAAAAAATTCAACCTTTTTTTGAGGGCGTTACCATTCATTATAACATTGAACAAAGAAAGTGGCTGGAGCGGGGTTTTGAACCTGCGACCTGTGAAACCTAATTGGGCAACCGCCAGCATTGAGCCGGAAGTCGCAGGTTCAAAACCCGCTCCAGTTAATTTCCTTGCTCAATTTTTAGATTAAAAAACCCAACTTTTTTTTTGAAGGAATTTTCCATAAAATGCAAGCCTGCAATAAAAAAAGCTATAATTTATTTGCCTTTACCCCTTTCATAATAGTCGAACGGATCGAAGTCGTCGGTGGGAATCAGGCCGTTTGCCGAGTCCCGAGTATTCAGTCTACACTCCATGTTGTTGCGGCCGTAGTCGAACGACCGGCACGTAGATCTCTGCACGCAGGCAGCGGCACAATCCTCTGGCCAGATGTTGTTTAGAACCGTGGCATCGGACTGGGCAAGCTTTCTCAAACGGGACGGGATGAAGTATGTTTGAATGTAAGCTGGAAATAAAAGAGAAATGTTGTGAGAGTTCATTAAATAATTTTTTGAGGAAAAATAACGGAAAGCCTGTCGAAAGGCCTTTCGAAAAGCAGTTTCAGGAAATGTCGGCTCAATCTCAACCTAGCAGTTTGAGACAAAGCTTTAGATATATATATACTAGATAAATTTCATTGTATATGTGTATTAAGTTTTTTGGAGGAAAGCGTCTGATAGCGGATCGGCTTAGTTTCATCGTTGCAGTTTCAGGCAAAGATTACAAAACGTTTGTTTGATAGGCCCAAATATCTTTAGAGATCATTAGATAAATTTTTCACAAATACACAAACAAAAAGATAACGATCAATGATGGCGGTACTATTCTTTTTAAGTTACACATTTATAAATCGTGTTGAACAATTAAGAGAACTGCCGAACACCACCTCATGATGTCTAACATGTCTATGACACACATTTTGTGGTAAACATTACAATCATATTTTACATCTACATGTTAATTCATGCTTCGCGCATAAGCAAATGTGAAGCAAATTTCAAGACAACTCCTACAACATTGCGACATTCACCGTATTCCTAACAAGTTCGCTAATAAGTCTGAAATTCCTGCAAACCAAGAATCAAGACTTGTAAATGATGCAATGAATTACTCACCACTCTGTTTGCAGGCATACATACGCTGTGTGTCACATTTATTATCGTTCCATTTCCCGTCTCCAGTATATAACTCCCCGCAGTTTTCGCCATCCACTCCGTCATTGTTAGGCTCACCTACAAAGCAAAATAAGCTCAAAATTCAAAAACGTGGCCGAACTGCTTGTATTCACAAATTTGACACGTGACCGTTCACGTTCAATCAAATTACATGTATAGCATGCATTGTCGGCCATATCCGTTACCGTATGATAGCAATCTGGAAACGGATTGAAGGTTTAATTAGATAAAGCATCTAGCAAATTGATCACGAAGGGCATGTTTCTCATCAGTTGCGTGCACAATGTGTGAAAAATAGCTTTGCTTAACATAACGATACGCAATTAGGCAAAACAAGTCACTACTTCGAATTGCAACTTTTGTTTTAAGTCTTATTGCGCCAAGACGTGGTATTTTCACCGGTCTCAAAAGTACATGTCCGCAAGCTGAAGATCCAAACATAATAAAAATGGTACATTTGATAACAAATCTGAATAATATTACAACGAGACGGATGCATGACGAATCACAAGACAATGAGCACCAAGCTCATTACACAGTACACGTAAAGGCAGCACCCCGACAGGATTCGCACTAAATCCAAACAAACTGTTTGTAAATAACACAAGCTTAGTTGGGTTCAAGACCGTACTGGTGCTAAACACTCCGTGAAATTATTCCGTCTGGCTTGCTGTCATTTTCGAAGAAATCAAGACATGTAGGTGATTTCCAACGATCAGTCGATTGACTGATTTTTAAAATAAAGAGTGCTTTTGACGAAATCGCGTTTCATGAGCAAATGTTGTGCATTTTGTTGTCTGTTTTCTCAAAAAGTGTAATTTTCACTGAGCTTAGACTTCAACAGGTTAGGTTTTGACATTCTTCTTTAGATTTTGAATGGTGTTATTAAATATTTGAAATGAACAAAGTGCATATAAAGCAAATGATCCTATAAGCCTTTCAGATGAAGTATCAAGCAAATTGGCCATGAAAGGCTTGTTTCTCAGTAACGTGCACTCGTGTGAAAAGAATATCTTTGGTTAATGACACGCAAATGGCGCATGACGTGAACGATGAAAAGATTCTCTACACAAAATTACTCCTTTTATTTAAAGTCTCGTTGCGCTAGGAAGAGGTATTTTAAACGATGTTAAAGAGTGCTTGTCCGCTAGCTGAAGATCCAAGCATGATAAAAATGATATTTTACATAATAAATCATGATGGTATGAAGGTGAGACGGATGCATGACGAATTGCAAGATAATGAGAACCACGCTTCTTTGTGTATCGGAAAGAAAATAACCAATATACTCATAAGGAAGCACTTTGGAGGATTCGCACTGAATCTAATCAAACTGCTTGTAAACAGCTAACGATTTGCATATTAAGAGACTTATTTTCTTAACAACAAAACGAATTTGAAGGATTCCCAGACTTCGAAACCAAACATGACAAATATGTTGTTTCTTTTGTTCAGACAAATCTTCAGAAGAATATAAAATGCATGAATTCTATCGCCGTTTGGAATCATAGCCTTTGATCTTTATGTGCATTTGATGGTCTAAACCCTGTTTGGGTTTATAATCATGTTATACACCTACCTCCGGCCCAGTTGATGTACCTAAACGGCGAGCCGTCCGTCCAGCGGAATCCGCCCTCCAAACTCACATCGTTGGCACCGATCCATACCGCTCCCGTGGACAAGAAGCTAGCACGGGCTGATAAAAAAGGAGAAAAAAACCCAGACCGATTAATACCCTTTGTCCGCAGTTTAACTACACAGATTTTTGAGATTTTTGAGAATTTAATCTGAAATGTGTGGTGTCATTGTATACATTAAGTGTATTTCTAAAGGCACTTTATTAGCAAAATCTAAATTAATACACGCAAAGGGAACCTATTTTTAATCAAATGCATTCCACGTATTTAACAACAACTAAAACTTCACAGACACGCAACAGCTTATACGCCTTTCCAGTTGTAGGCCAATGGTGTTTTACTACTATATTACGGTATCCTATACTCTATGTATTTGGATAAAACTTTGCTACCGCCTTACACAGGCCTAAGAAAGTTACGCCCATTGCGAAATCATTACCTTAAAGATGCAACAGTGACCAAACAGTGACAAGCACAAATGGCGAGCACGTGACTCAAAAATTACTGTTGATTGGTTATTTTTTTTTCTGTTTACATCCGAAACACCGCAAAAACTGCGCTTAATTTACACTATGCGGTGTCTATACAAATCTGCTCTAAATACAAAATATTACAAAGTAGCTATTTGTAAAATAGAAGTGTTCCTGAAATGAACATGAGGTGTTATAACACAACGTTTCAGTCAGTGTTCCCTAACCGTCAGCAAGAGATGGTGTCACATTAACACTCATGCTAAACGAACACTGCACCTGTAATGAAGTATTTGCCTGTTTTTCCCCTTCAGTTCATGTTGTCTTTCACTTACTGTATACATAAAGCTGCTCGTTGAAGTCAGCGATACTGATGAGATGGGCGCCCTCTAGGCGGCACTGCGTGTCCGCATCGTACCAGTTCTTGGTCTCGGTGCGGTAGCTATAGCAACGGTCACCTGACCCTTCGTACTCCCACCCCAGACCGCACTTCATGTCATACACGGCTGTTATAAAGTTCATTTATTTGAAGAAAAACATTATTAATAAACATGTAATTATGTTTTCTATAGCATCACATTCCAAAATTAACATTTGTGAACGGATTCCACGAATGAGTCTACACGACATTCTTTCCACTTTAGTTTTCCATAGACATTAGAAACGGCATTAGAAGCAGATCTTTACTTTGGACATCCAGTTTAAAATTCTGAAGAATATGGGTGTTGTGGGATACAAAGCTGACATTTCATATTGACTTTCAGTTTGCAAGATTTTGTTAAGGGCCTGTAGGCCTAACTCCAAAATATTTGCAACCAATTTCGTACGTTCGCGTCATTTGTTTCCACGATGCCATGCTTATATCACTACAACCGTTAAAGAGGTAATGATAACAAGAATTGCTAGAGCGAATGCGTACTAATATTGCATAGGAAAATGATACTAGCTAGTCATGTGACTTACTCGTTGGTGGAGGAGCAGGTGTGTTTACGTTAGAACCAGCTGGAAAAAAGAATAGCAAATTATTATTGGCGGGAAAATAAACACCAGACAAACATTCAGGACTTCCGAACAAGAATTATCATTGGCGAAACCTTTTCAAAGATAATGACTTTCTACCATCATGTATAACATAGAATTTGTTTGACAATGCAAGTTTAAGTCCAACTCATAAACGCCCAGTAGTCTAACTCAATTATTATTACTGTTGTTATTATTGGAAACGAGCAAAATGCGTGAAAAGCAAATGATCCTATATGCCTTTAATGACACTGACGAACATTATATAAATTTTACTTTTAGGTTTCTTGCAGATGTATCGGTACTGATAGTCGCAATTGATGTCGTTCCATATTCCGACTTTCTGGAACGCCGATTCCAAGTGGACGCAATCCTCTCCGCTTCCGACGTTGTTGGGCTCCCCGGGCCCCCAGTTCAAGAAGTCAGTCTGGTGAAAGAATAATGATACAAAGAAATAGGTTGAGTTTAAGCACTACTTTGTTTCATTGCCCTGGTTATTTACTTCACTTTTAGGGTTAGCAAAGGGTTTAACCCTAAAAGACCTAGATGGAATATTTTTTCCGATATCATTACTACGCGATTTCATTTCTTGCCTAACCTTTATGAGTTCGTTGACTTTTATGAACTGCAGATGTGTCGACACCAATTTCATAAAAAATAGACCAATTGATTCATTCACCCTCGCTCCTTAACGGGAGCGTTGAATATTAATTAAAATGATTTATTAAAATTAAGTTGAATCTTTGCATCATGTGCTAAAATGAATGTTTCTATTGCATATCAAATTTCAGAACAATCGGTAAATTCATTTTTGAAATCAGACGGGATGCTGAGTCCGTCCTCGGCTTTATGATGACTCCCCCCAATGTTATTGGGGTCAACAGAGCAAGGACATACTGAATCTATTGTATTGCATGAATATTAACACTTAGGACCCTCGGCCATTGAAGTAACATGTTTATTGAGCAGATTAGACTAACACACAGACGAAGACAATGTAACAGGACTAACAAACGGACTAATAGTAACCTCACCGGTGATCCGTCCGTCCACGTGAAGGTAGATTCCCCGACGGTGTCATGGAGACCGATCCAATGGCTCTCCTCGACAAAACTGGCTCGCACTTGAAACAAAAAAGACCAAAGCAAATAAGTTCATTTCTGAGGAAACATTTAAACAAACATTAAGTAACCCAGTGCCAGATCTGTACTTTGTAATTTGAATGAGTATTGGAAAAATCAATTGGAAAATCATTCATAACTGTTACCCCACGCAAGTCTGGCTTTGCAAAAGGAAGAAGAGTGATCCAGAAAATTGTATTTTTTGTCATGATAGTATTAATTACATTGAACACTTTTTTCTGGTCGTGTAAAATGGTAAAACCCCTATGGAATGAAATCGAAAAGATTGCTGCATCTAAGTATGGCAAATTGATCAGTCTGTCCGTGGAAAATATTCTTTTCGGGGTAGGGGAAACATACAATAGTTATCGGTTTCTGAATACTCTAATTAATAAAGCTAAACAAACAGTGAGTCGTTTTAAATTTGGCCAGTATTCCAACCTTATCATCCTTTTTGAGCAGGAACTCCAGCTTCATCATATCGAGTAAACTGTTTAGTTGGAATTTTTTGTTGTGTGTAATTCAGTAGTACCTATAGAGCAGACGATTAACTGTACATGTAAATAGATTATTGTCATTTAATTGTTGATTGTATCTTTGAATAAAACAGGAAAAAAAATTGAATGAGTAGAAATATGAAATACAGACTGCAGCATCGCATTCTTTCATAAATGGTTTCAAATTTGTGTACATAATCAAGGGTAGGCTGACCTGTAGAGCTGGTCCCAGAGCATTCACAATTCTATTCAATTGATTCAGAATCACCCGTCATTTGTAAAAAGGGTAATCCTATATAATAACACTGCCCGGCTCACAAATAACAGTCAGTCAGTAAATCAGCCAGTTAGTGCGATGGATACAAAGATGACACTAAGCTTGCCCTCCGGGACCAACACAAAGAGGACTCTACTTGATACCTGACAGGAACGACTGTTCCTCGGCGCTGTGAATGCTGACTAGATGCGTGTCCGGTCCCATGGCGGAGCAGAGCGTCTCTGCACTGTTCCACGAGCTGGTTTCCTGGGGCGAGAAGTAGTAGCAGGAATCGCCGTGCAGGTCCCAGCCCGCGTCACAACTGCCCGTAGCTACAGAAACAAGGAGGACAAGTTTATATCAAACTCACGGAGTTGTCGTGAAGACCATCATCACGACACAAGTCAATCACAAATCCGCCAGTCCAAGTCAAGTTCAAAGCTATTACAACGAACTCTGATAAAGGTATTTTGGGGTCAGGCTATAGACCATTATCGTGTTGCGGCCATCTTGATATTTCCCATTCAAATCAATGTAACCAAAGCGAGGCTGGAAGGAAAAATAGTCTGGTTCCTTTTTGCACAAAAACCATTATCATTCAGTACTGTTATTGAATACAGAGAACATAACTGAAATGGTGGCAGCATGATAACGGTTTATAGACCACTATCATGTTGCGGCCATCTTGACTTTTCCCATTCAAATCAATGTAATCAAAGCGAGGCTGGAAGGAAAAATAGTCTGGTTCCTTTTTGCACAAACAAATTATCAGTACCGTTATTGGATACAGAGAACATAACTGAAATGGTGGCAGCATGATAAAGGGCTATTGCTTATTTTCTGTTACTTGTGACAGTAATTGTGAATTTGTTGTGACCGGACCTTTGATGGACTCAACTTAAAATACTGTCGAGTCCTTTTCAACACTTTAATTCAATTGATATTTTCCATAGTTAAAAAGTAAAACACCAAATAATGTTTAAACCGGAATTGGCATTGTACTATCACCACCTCTGTTTACTTCGAAAAACCTCTCAACGATTCAAAACCATGAACACTTCTCTAAACCATAAACAAATAAAAAGCACAATTTGTTGTGCCACGGCCGATTCATGTGATTTCTAGAAGTGCAAGTTAAATGGATCTCTTACTGATTACTTACTTATGTCGGGGGGAATTAAGGAAACAGTTTGCCCTGTAAACAGAAGACAAAACAATTGTTAAACGTGACTTCGCCAAAAGTCAGTTGAATGAAAACAATCTCACTCTACCTTTTTGTTTAATTTCATTCATAACTTACAACAAATAACTGAAAAAAGACGACATTTTCTCTGTTCAGAGTTATGTTGTTCTACATTTCATTTAGCCTGAAAATGTCACACTTATTTTAATCTTGTTGTAACGGGCCTAACAATCTCTGTAAATGTAGAAATAAAAATGCATTTCTTTTTTAATAGAGAAATTGATATAATTTTGTCTTCTTTAGCCTTGTTAATTTAGCCTTCATATTGTGGTATTTTGTGACATTTGTGTAATTATAACTGTGTCAGATTTCAGTTTTATTTGAAACTGCATTAGTTTTCAGTAATTGTTACAAAAATGCAAATATGGGGACGTTATCTTTGTAAATAAAACTGGTTTTCTAAAATTGTAATATCAATAAATATTTCAGAGAACCGATTGACTTACCAGCAGCAATTTTACAAATAAAACCTTGCAGGTTGAAGCAGTCACGTGACTCCCACTTCCCTGATGTACCTCCTGTAACGAGAAAAAAAAATCATCACTCAAATAAAAATTCATCTTTGTTTCCCACTTCCACTTCTACCACAACAAACAATTCCGATGTGAAGAAATGTTAAAACTGAAATTTGACAGTTAGTTTGGTAAGAGTGTCACTGTACCTGTGTAGATGCTACCGCAATCTAGCTGGCCAGATCTCATAGTCGGTTGACCGGTGGCCCAGTTGACGTACGAGGAACCGGTCTCCTGCACCCACTTCAGGGTATTGTCCGTGATGGAATCTAAAACCAGATACCAAAAGATATGTGACCATCATCACAGTATGAGCTTAAAGTCGGAAATTGTCACATTGCAGTGCAGTGGGGCAAAGTCAAAACTTGAAGGGATGGTCAGTTTTTTGGTACAGCGTCCGTTGAAACGCTATGACGTCATTACATTGGGCAATGGGGAATGCGCCCCAAACGCAGACATCTTACCAATTGACCACCAAGATGACAATAATTTTTATGAACAAAACGTGAATAATTTAATACAGAAGGAAAAACCTATCTATAACAGAGCTGGTTTTGGTATGACAAATTTGAAGAAGTTATAGAAAGATTCATTTCTTGCAAACGATACCTTAGAAATGGCAACATTGAAGATCTTGGCTTTATTCAATTTTGGAAGAACGCTTTGGAAGTTTATTCAAGTTTGGAAGAACGCTTTGGAAGTTTATTCAATTTTGGAAGAACGAATTTGGAAGCGTTAATAACACACGCCAGGCAAAGTTTGGCACTCACCAGATATACCGATGTAGATATCGGAGACACCAGCTTGGTCGAAATCGCTGAGCAAACCAGTGATATATTGATTCTCTGCATCACTGAGCAAAAAAAGCAATCATAACCAGAGTTTATAAAAAAAACTAATAATTTGGATCTCCTCTATGTTGCTCAAATTTATTTTACAACCATGGGCGTGAATCCCAGGGGTGGGGCGGGGTGAGGTGAGGTGGGGTGGGATGGTGTGGGGTGGGGAGGATTACCCCTCCCCCACTTTTGACTAAGGGGGATGGGCCATTAGATCATCCCCAAGATTTGTGTGGTGAGAAACATAAACACGCCGATTTTGAGGTAATCTTATAACTTTCCAAATGTCCAAATCTATGAGATAGTTATGAGAAACGGAGAACAAACAGTACACAAGCTTTTATAGCTCTGTTTGTATGTAAGGGTAAGAGATCTAAACGCGCAAGTTTGCGTTACATGTACATTTGTATCACGAACAGCTCCCCTTGGTGTCACGCATGGGGTCTAACCCCCCATCCCCCATGGTCACCCCCGCCCCCACTCCCACTCGCCAACTCGGATTGACGCCACTGTTGACAACAATTACATCTTATGTTTCCGTTCAACTTGGAGTCGTTATAAGTAAATGTATTGATTACAAAGCATTTCTACAAAAAAAAAAAAAAAATCCTCAAACTGGACAGTTTCATTGATAAATGTCAATCGACGTATGTACATGAATTATATAAGTATCAATTAAGTAATACATAATAGTCTCGGTAAGTCGTGCAAGTATAAATTACATCGGATTTGAATAATCTACCGTTTATTGTTGCGGATTTGATTTTTGTTGCGGATTTGATTTGTTTTTTTTTTACACTTCTATGCAGTTGCGGTGTGACATTATTTCTGTTGTATTGAAAAGTTTAAAACAAATATAGGAAATGTAAAAACAGTATTTCTTAATAATTATTAACTTACTTGATGATTGTTGTGAGGTAGCCCGCCTGAGCGTCACAGTAATGTTTAGCATCTGTCCACGTCTTGGGGTTGTTGATGTTCAACTGATAACACTGGCCATTGTGGTACATCCAACCGGGGGCGCACGCCCCTATGTTACCACGGGAGTAAATAGTCGAGTGGGAAATATATTATATATTTTCGAAAATGATCTATCGTATAAACAATACCAGCTAGATTGTAATGTAAGTACAATATTTGAATCGTTCGATATATCATTGTCAGAATGGTGATTCCTGACCCTTGATAACGTTGTGTCAGAAAGATGGAAAATAAGATTAACACTTAACAAAAACAAAATGGCGTCAGCCGCCATTTTTACCTTGTATTCTCTCGCAGAAGAAAAAGCGACTGGTAGTGCAGTCTATCGTTGTCCATTTTCCAGTGTACGAAGCCTGTACGCAGTTTCCACCATTAATGTCGTAAAATCTGAAAAACAAAGCCAACATTATCATAAATCAATATGTAAACAGAATAATATCAATATCCCGTGATACCAATTCAAGACCTTGAATGACTAAAAATTGAAGGGGAAATAACATTTGTCTTACTGGTTGTCAGGTTGGTTGGCGTCCCAGTTGTTGTAAAGTGCCGCATTGAAAGTTGTTCCGTCTGTCCACTGGTAGTTACCACGCCCAAATCCCTAATTAAAAGAATTAGAACACCCAATTAATGAGACAATATGCTAATAACAGAGGCCGAGAATTACACATTGAAAGGTAACATGAAGAATGGTGCTAGACCTATCAAATCGCGTAGGTATAGGCCATGTTACATTTGGATGTTGTGGTCACATGATGTCAACTTCAACAAACTGTCCTCTTGTGCATTGCATGTGCGTGGATCTCTTAGAATGTGATTGGTGTACCCGTGATGACATAAACTGTTTAACATGCAGAAGACGCTTCAATGTTTTGGTAACCTATCGGTTGCCCTTGGGTATGATTGGTGTCACAGATACATGGTCTATATCAGACAGACCGTGTGATTCAAAATAACGCCAGATGTTAGGAGCAAAGGCGCGAACCGAAAACATTAGGCCTTAACAAGATGTTCTTATTAAACAGACTCAAGAGTAAAACAAATTTTAAAATTCCATCATATTTTCACGAGGCTTTGGTAAGGAAATGACAATTTGTACTTTGATCACTGAGTAAGTTGACAACGGTAGACCGAGGAATGATTTTTTTCCCCAGTATTGTGCATGTCTTGTTTTTGACAAATGCATTGAATCGTTTGTCATCTTAGTCGAATAGTGTATGGCCGCAAAGGTAGCTACGGCGTTATATGCATATAGGGCCTAGGCCTACACCCATGTCAGCGTACACCCATCCATATCTACTTAAACCCAAACCGAGTCAAACTGGCGACATCCACACCTAACATTAAATAAACAGATTATAAATACCCTATCAGTAAGTCCGATGAAATACGGAAGGCCGCCTCTGGCCGTAGTCGCCTCCACAGCCGTTTGTTCGTCCGCGTTGGTGAACGACACCAAATGGCTGCCTAGCTGGCTGCAGTACTGCTCGGCCCCGCTCCACTGATACGAGTCGGTAACCCACAGGTAGCATTTGTTGTTCGCTGAACGCCATCCGTTGCTCTGATCGCAGTAAACAGGCGTACCTGTTCGAGAACACGTGAATTTAATGTTTGGAGTTAATGGATATTCATTGGTATCCTCTCTGAGGGATCCCCGTTCGCTATTTCCCAGGTTTGCAGCATGTGCTAAGGTTGCTAGCATCGTGTGTTTGCCGGGTGTGGTCCCTGGGTACATGGCATACACGGGTTTATGGCTTCTGACTGGCGCCCCTTGAACCAGGGCATTAGCAAATTGGGGGTACCGCCAACATTATAGGATTAGATGGCTCAGTTGATAGAGCACTGGAACGGCAATCCAGAAGTCGCAGGTTCAAACCCTGCCCCAGACAATTTATTTGTTCAACTTTGAACTAATTGATATTCATCAAAGTTGAAATATCGAATCAAGTGCATAAAGCTGATAGAATCCGGCCTATGAATTAAACCTGAGAAACTACACGCAGTGATACGAGTACCTGAGTTTTGTTGTAGGTATAGAAACATAGCATTTTGACGAAATTTGATCTTTTCATTTATCACATCTTTTATTTAAGGAAAATCAATCTAAACAGGTTAATTGACTCCTGCCAGCTGAATTGCGCTGCACAAAAGCAATGTCAATGTGATCAACTTTCGTTGTTAACTTGGACTCGTTCTATGAGAAGGAGCGAATCTTACTGATGGAGCGAGAGCAGATGTAGTAGTTCAAGGCGACGCAGGCTTGGTCGTTCCACTTCCCGTTACCGCCAGTACGAGTGTCAATCTCGCCACAGTCCTCCCCAGTTGAAATTGGAAAGTCGTCATTCGGCTCGCCAGGCTTCCAGTTCCTATACACGAAGGAAGACGCAAAGAAAGAAAGTTCACTTTTACGAATATTTCAAAGATACTTCAAGAAAGTTTCAATTTGAAGCTTACCCCAATTTCAGGTTGGCCTAAATTTCACAGGCCTTTCAATCCCCACCACGTGGAGGCGAAACAAGCATCGTCCATGGCTGGCAGTTATGTATGTCATCGGAAACGATTTTGTGATGTTATTGCTTTGTCAAAATCTTGGTACGTTGATCATCTTTAATAGCAAAACAGACACGCACACGAAAGACAGAATTTTCGTGACATGAGGATCTCTTGTAAACTATTCTGAAAGATTCGAAAACCTAGTCCAGGCTTTCTATTATCTATATGCAATGGGTATGCCTGGCATGCAAAGTAAAGGCTTGTCCTACAACTAACTGTAACTTCATAAATATACGGATAACAAATAAGAAGCAAAGCCAAGGCTCCCAGTGATGACCATCTTTCCCGATCCTCGCCACAAAAAGGAGCACCTATCGGACCTCGCTGTTGATGTTAATTTAAAATTCGTCTTAAATGTGTGTATTTTTTTGGTGGAAAGTAAAAATCTGTTGATGGTCCTTTATTCGTTTTCCTTTCATTTGTAAACCTTACGTGTAGGTAACAGGGCTACCGTCAACCCATTCGAATGAGGATTCCTGGGATCGATCCCAGAGGCCAATCCAGTACACCTTTTGTGTCGACGCTAGCGCAGTCTGCAAGAAGTTCTGCAAATATGAAAACAGAAATTGATGGTTATAGTTTCGATATAAACTGGAAATAATATTTGACAGCATGAAAATACCATTCAATTAACCTACTCATGTTTCAACTAAGATTAGCTTGTACCAGCTCGTGGGATTACAGCAGGACAAGACCGAGTCTATTTCCATTCACCGCAGCCGAAAGATGACCACACGACCAAGTCAACTTACATTAACATTTTCGAGGGTTACACACTAGATCGACAACACCGAGTCAATCTACACTAACCTAATCAATCTGCACGAGTAAGTCAACATATTTTAACCTCAACTGATGGAAGAAGCACTAGATCGACAAGACCAAGTCAACTTTCATTAAGGCTAACCACGCCAATATATCGACACGACCAAGTCAAACTTTATTAACTTAAACCTATCGATTGACACGAACAAGTCAACTTTCATGAACATGAGCCGAGTGGTGAACACTAGATCGACAACACCGCGTCAACTTACATTACACTAAGCCGATTGATCGACACGAGCAAATCAACTAATATTAACCTCAACCGATGGAATTACCACTGGATCGACAAGACCAGCCAACTTACATTAATCACACTGATAGATCGACACAACTAAGTCAACCTTCATTAATCTAAGCCGACTGATCGACACGAACAATTCAACTTATATTTACCTCAACTGATGGAATAACACCTAGATCGACAAGACCAGGTCAACTTTCATTAAGCCTAACCACGCCGATAGATCGACACAACTAAGTCAACGCACATTAACCTAAGCCGACTCACTTAAATTTACATTAGCCGAAGGGATGACCACTAGGTCGACAAGGCCAACTTACATTAAACGCACCGATGGGTCGACACAACTAAGTCGACCTACATTAACGTTAGCAATAGATCGACAGTGCCGACTCAACTTACATTAACGTCAGCCGAGGGAATGACCACCAGATCAGCATGTTCATCTTTGCAGGCCTCTCTGGCCGACGTCCAGAACCTGTTTTGAGCACCGACTAGGTAACACATGTTACCATACTGCAGCCAGCTACCACCACATCCTTGACCACTTACTGAGAAATGAAAAAAAATAGTATAATATCAAGTATAATATAAAACAATAAAATGAAATATAATATATTAATAATAATTACCGATAATGGGTCACTTGGGAGCATTCCCATAAATGTGTGCACAGTTCCCCCACCCCAACCTTAATGACCGCTAACCCCAATTTTACCTCATCCTACCCCCACGAATGTTGGTATTTTTACTCCATGTATTCGGACCACGAGCAATCGATCTAGCCTATTTGCGGCATTAACATTTTGCCTCTAAATAGGAGTTGTGACATCGGGGAGACATTAAAATATCTCCCGAATGTCAGGTGTCTCCCTAAGGTATGATTTATGACGAAATGTCTCCTCAAGGGTGCATTAACATGTGTACTGTAATGCTAAGTGTTATAATAACATGATACAAAGCAGTTATACAAAGGCAAGTATTGGCATTAAATACAGGACGAGTAAAAAACCCGAAACCCAAACGCCGGGACTATTGTTTTAGCAAAGTTCTACATGTAGCACTTTTAAAATCTAGGATATAAAAGCTCAATTCATAAGCTTTCTTTTAGTACATGAATCATTCAAATCGCTTATGTACTTTCCAAGTTACGGAATTTTACACGCAACCAGGTTTTAAAGTTCTGTCCACGGATCACAAAAAAAGGTGTGCGTTCTTTCAGCCAAACGAAAACAATTCACACACATCCCTCCCTATGTGAATTATTTTCGTTTTGCTAAAAGAACGCTTACCTTTTTGTGATCCGTGGACAGAACTTTAAAACGGTTCGTGTGTTTAAAATTAGTAGTCTTGTTGTTGATAACCAACATACATGTACAAACTAGGAGGAATTGTAAACTACAGTTGCGAGTTGCCGAAGTTTGGAAGTTAATGAAATTGTTATACATGTACCGAAAATATATTGTACTTGTTCGATAATGAGTATTCAGAAGACATCAACTACTTTGGAGTACAATTTTACCCGATATCTGGCTGCATTTTATACCAAATAACTGTCTCCCGGCTGTTTTTTTGCAATTTCAGTAACCTTAGTTCAGCGCGGAAAACATTTAGTTTGCATTAATAAAATCTCCAGGCATTCATTATTTTGGAAATCATTGCAAGAAATCAGATAAATTTATACTTATAAGGATTTCAATTGTTCACACAATTAACGAAACAATTTCAAGTCGTGCAGACTTGTTATTTCTGGTTATACCTGTATGTAATCGTTATATTCAGCCCAAAGATTAGCAAAGGATTAATTCTTGCTTTATCGGAAAACTCCGTGGTCCGAATGCAACCTTGAAGTCGCAACAGGGATGTTATAAGATAAGTTATTTGTTAACGGGGAAATAATTTAGATAACATTATGTTGTAAGACTATAGGTTGCCGTATGAAAATTTGAGACTTTTTGATGTACTTTTGTCGATCAAACTGACAAGATCAGGTGAAATACCTGTATTCAGGGCCTCATTTTTTGGAGGGGGGGGGAGGGGCGGGGTGGGGCTCCATTGGAGGGGGCCTCAATAATGAATAAAAAGCCCATGTTTGATTCTGAGCTGGGGGTGGGGCACGGGTAAAGGCAACACTGTTAATCATCAAGTCGTTTGCTCTGTAAAAACACTTTGCTTTATGCTCCCACACAATGAAAAAAGTACAAAACGAAATCAAAGTATAAGAAACGTTTAGAATGAGACGAAGCTCAATGGCAATAACAAACACCTTATTTCTAGAAAGTAAATGAAGAGTAACGCTAAAATGCAGGACAGTTTTAGTAAAACTCGACTATAGGCGCTTACAAGAACATATTACGTCCGAAGTCCAACATGTGCCACTTCAGTGGCGGATTTTAGTAAATCTTAATGTCAATAAAGCACCCAACAAATTAGTACCTTTATGGCCCAAGGCTCACATTCGAGATAGCTGCTATCTGATCCGTACTGTGGATATAGTGGATCTTCGTAAATATGTTATTTGAAAAATTTGGGACAAACAATTACACTTATCACTGACTGGTACCGCAGCTGACCCCAAGTTGGTCGAAATAATTGCATTACTGGTCGGATTGTCGCTTGGAAAATATACAGTAGCCCTAAATGGAAATCGAAGTCGAACATAAGTAAAACTGTCCGTGCTATAGTTCTCCAGAAGCGACTGAGGGTGAGTTCCCAAGACAAGGGCGGATCCAGAACACATATTTCCTTTTTTTTAGGGGGGGGGCCAGAAAAAATTTGGTCCCCCAAAAAGTGGGTCAAAAAATTACGGCGTGAGGTTCGGGGCCCGGGGCCCGCGCAAGGGCCCCGAATTTTGTTTTGTTCTAGATGATCTGTGGTGCAATCTGAGGCAATTTCTGACCACTTTAACCAATTTTTTGAGGAAAAGGAGGTGGTTTACGCAGTGCCTGCCTTTATTGCGACGTCACTTTAAAAAAATATGGTTTTTTTGGGGGGGGGGGGGGCATGGCCCCCGTTGGCCCGTTAATATTCTTTAAATTCTTATTTTTCTTCTTCATTATTAAATGTTTGATTGATAAATTTTTTCCTAACTTTGATAGATGTCACTTAAATCGAGACTGGTAAAGTGTATTTTGTTGATTGTAAAGTACAGATCTGTCAATCCAAACTCCTGTGTTTTGTTATATTTGTGCGTCTTCCAGTTGCTGAATGAGCAAAGCGTGAATGCAAAAATTGTGAAAGTGAGTGATCGATATTTAATAGGCTACCAGCTTCGGTCCAAAAACTTGGCCACCGGTATCACATGAACGAATGGAGCAATGCTCATAGCGATTTTTGGCAAGGCATGCACATCTACAGTTGGAAGGTGTGTGATAGCTTTGTGTGAGCGGTGGCAGTTTTTTTTTTGGGTGTTATCACTTTTATTTTATTTTTTCAAAATGGCCGCCAATTGCTTGTTACCGGATTATTTTGTGGTAAGAAGCATATTTGGCAGCCTTTTTTTGTTTTGTTTTTGTTTAAAGTGACAGCACCCAAAAAGCTGCCACCGCTGCAATGCTATCACATATTTTCCAACTACAGGGGTGCATACCTTGCCAAAAATTACAATGAGCATTTTTCCCCTCATTTGCTGATGGCCTATATGCAGGGGAGTTGGTCCGCCCGCTGGTTGTGAATGTTGAAGATATGTTGAGCATTGCCGGAGCATTCTTAAATTGCGATCGGTATTGCCTTGTCACGGTCACTCCAGAACCCTTGCGAACTTGCAGCCCGATTTCCCACATTTGGAGTAGCAGATCTGCGCCGCTCGATCTACCGCGAGGAATAGTTTCACTGATTATTATAATAGATGAGTTTGTTCATATATTGCTGAAAAAATGGACGTTTGATTACTGATCTGGGGAGACATAGATTTGGTTAGCACTGATGTAATGTTTATGGCATCATATTGCTCTTTCAGTTTCTCACTGGTATTTACAGAACTTAAAAATAAGAATAATTTATGGATTGTGTAATTTGATTTGTGTTTTAGTTTAGCTTTTAAAAAGATGTTGTGATCGGTGACGTCACAAATTTACACTTCTGTACAGATGAACTTTTCTGCATGATTAAGTTGATCAAGTATGGATTTTTTTGGACTTCATTAATTTTTGTCGGAATTGGCAATTTCAGATGGATAAGAGTCGAACGCCAGAGCAGAGCGTCTATACTGACCTCATATAGTTGGACCCATACACCCAAAACCTTAACACCCAAACTTAACGGAAAGCAGAAGCACGAGACTTAACAGAGAGCAGAGCAGAGATTCCAAGACTGACGGGATGCCTAGTCTCTGGAGGATCAATCGTACAGGTCCAAGGAACGACCGGAAAAATACCGCCAGAAACAGCATCCAAGGGCGGATCGGGGGGGGGGGGGGGGGGGGCAAAGGGGGCCATGCCCTCCCCCCCCAAAAAAAAACCCCACCGAACCCAATTGTTTTTGTTTTTATGTGACGCCGCAATAAAGGCAGGCAATGAGTACATCACCATCTTTTCCTTAAATAACATTGGTTAAAGTTGTCAGAAATTGCCTCAGATTGCTCCACAGAGCATCGAGAATCCAAAAAGAATTCGGGGTCCTTAAAGCGGGCCCCGAACCCCACGCCGTAATTTTTTTGACCCACTTTTTGGGGAACCAATTTTTGTTGTTTAGGCCCCCCCCCAACAAAATTGTGTTCTGGATCCGCCCTTGACAGCATCCAGCAATAAGACTAATTTAGAAATTTTTAGTTAACAAAAAGTGGACTATTTTACCTGATCCAAGAAGAGTAGCAGCGAGAAAAACAACCCCAAGCATCATGGCTGATAGTGATCGTCTCTGCCGAGCGCAGACTACGATCATCACTCCGGGTATCTCAGTCAAATTCTAATGACCAACTACTAACCCCGCAGTCTCTGGTCGGTTCGGGGACTGATATAACCCGGTACCACCACTAGCCAACGAAGTGATCGTCCGACGACGAAAAAAGAGATAAGAATGGTGCTACAATGATTACGTCACTTATCGAAAATCATCCTATCACCCTGCTAAAATTGATAACGGAAATGGATCTTTCAACAGAGACGTGTTTCGTTTCCATTCCAAGACCGAAAACAAAAGAATCCTGGTGTGATTTTTAACAACAATATCTTGGATTAACGGCCACGTGTCTCGTCTAGTATAAAAAACCGACTGTTTACATCATATAAATTACCACGTGTTGTTGACGTTTTTATTTAGAAAGTGTAGCTGAATTTTGTTTTTTATGTAGAACTTAGTAATAGGCCTAGGCCTATATTATACTATTAAATATTAAAACAATATTTTGATAGATTGCTACTTAGAAATGACGAAATGCTGAGCGCAATAAATGATCACGACGACCCTAGAGCCCAGGTAACATTGCGATCATTGATAAGGCGAAGTTTGTTTAATATTTAACCTAGTAACATGGCAAGACTGTTAAGTCCGTTATTTATATCTACGTGGCCCGTGTATTTAAGCACCGATATGGTGATGATAACACAGCAGTTATGAAGGCAAAGACATACCCTTTCGTAACGACAAAGGCTACCTGCCTCATATCCATGTGACGCCATGCCTGGGTTCCCGGATCTTCACTGCATCTGATCTGACACACTGATTGGCTTTACAAAAGCTCATGCCCACTTTGCCTTTTGTTAAGTCGCTCATTGTTTATACAAGTGCTACATGTATGTATTTGTATTACGCTAGATCTATTTGTACCAATTGATTGGCCGGGCACTGAAAATGTTGTTAAAAAGGAGGCAGTGATAACACGTTTTCAAGTAATGATGTCATGCGAAACTGATGGCCAAAGATTGGGCCCCAATGAGGAAACTTTTCTCACAAATGTTTTCAATTAGCACATTTTGGGTTCAAAATTTGAATGAAAAAAAAGTAGACCTAAAGTCTGAACAGTGTCCTCCTGAAATGACATCACAGCAACAGCGCCCTCAGTTGTCCGAAAATGGAAATTATTTTTTAAATGTTTAAAAAATTGCAATTTTCAATAAACATGAACCAAACAGGGATGTCAAATAGTTCAACATTGAAGAAGAGTAGAAAGTTGCACAAAATGTGTTTCTAAAATTCATCGCACGACTCCTTTTAAATTTTGCGTTTGTGGATTTATCATCTCAGCGATGGGTCTATAAAACCTTTGTCACTTTGTCAAAAACTGAAGACACTTGTTTTAATCACTTTACAAATGATTTTCTTTATTTTCAAGTAAGAACTCTAAAAATGCGAGCTATGACTTTTTATCCTGTTAATGCCGTTGTCCAGGCCTTATTCTATACATTTTCATCCTGAAGACGTTTTTGACTGTTTCTTCCTTCTGCAACTGCACCATTCAACTAATTATTCAAGTTGATGAAATAAAACAATAGGTTCATTTTGCACATGTGTCAATGTCAATTTCACACGTACATAATTCTCATACACTGTTTTTGCAATGTTATAAAAAACTAACGTTTAAAATCTTCCTCAATGTTTTCGAATAGAACAGTCTTTTATTTTTGAAGACCCAGTTAGGATCAAATCGTAAATGACGAGAATTTACACACATGTAGTTTGCAAGATCTGATTTTCAATAAAACATAAACACTATAATTCGACTATTGTGACGTGGTACGTCAATATCAGGCAAAAACTCAATTTTGAATTGTTGCAATATTAGTCAAATACAGATCTTGCTCTTTCAAACACCGCTGGTTTTTTTAATTGGATAATTCCAAGCAAAGTAATTAAATTTCAAATCAGAATGTCCGAAATGTGACACTAATTTGTGCCATTTCAGAAAACATAATCTTGAACAAAGTGTGTTTAAAAATACTTTGTGGATGACATTTCAGTTTGAAAATTTCACGGAACATTTTGAACATTAGTAGCATCTCAAATTCGCTGGAAATCACCCTCCACCACGTCATTTTTGCATCTGTTTCTCCAAATCGTAGCTCTGCGAAATTCTGCCTGGTTTTGATATAAAACGTCACAAATTTGCATGTTTTTCCATGATTTGTACTATATTTCAGTGAATGTAATACTGGTTTTATGTTTCCCAACACTGTCGATGACAAGTCGTCATCGAAATGCACTTTTTAGAATGCACTATTTTAAAATACAAAAAACTACCACATATCCAGTATAAAATGACCTAATAATTCAAACGCGATGATGGTTCTTAATTCTTGGTCATCTTTTTCATTTGATTTGAATACTTTTTTGTTGTTGTAACGATCAACAATTTCTGCCTTTCAGTAATCAAATACTAGGTACGATGACTCAAATGTGAAACTTTGAGCTCACGAGATGCTGATATTTACCTCTGAGAAAGCTTGAGTTTGGCTTCTTATACCTCATGTGTCAGTTTTCACGATCAAAAGATTTCCTATAAATGTTTTTGTTTTGCATCAATTTCACAAGCAATTTACAGCAATTTACAGCAGAATCTACAGCTGACTGCAATTTCTATCACTGACCAGCTTTGCTGAATCACTTGATTAATGTTAAAACACTAAGTTTGTTAATATTTAAAAAAAAATCAGTTATTTTATTTCCAATATAAAATTGCTAAAACTAAAAGCTTTTTAATTTTACAAACTTTAAAGAAATTCACCATCGGGAAATGAATCATTTGAATACACTGGATGATCAGTAATACTCTTTCATACAAAACTTAATCATTTTCAGATCTTCTCTGCAAAAAAAAGTTACAAAACATTAATTCACACGCAATTACAAACTACTATAAAATCTACTGCAAGTAAACTCACTATGTGTGCATATAACAGACATGCAACAGGGAAGTAACCAAACAAAGAGAGCAAATTACAAGCTCTGAAAGATTGTATAAGATGTTTTTATCAATTTCTAATGGCATAAGTGTGAAATGAAAAACAAGGAAATCAGCTGATCCTAGGAAATGTTGCATGCCTGATATAAGAAGAGTCTTTAGACCAGGGTTCGACTTTAGCGTTAGCCCGCTAGCCAAATGCTAGTCAAAACAGCGGCGGGCTAGTCAAACTATTCCTTAAGTAGCCCAGCTGGTGAGTGAACAATTATTGGGCTATGACAAAGATGAAAGGACAGGCAGAAATAAATCATTAAATTCAGATAGCAAACCTGCATTAATTTGGGTCTAATTTTATTATTTGTGTAGGGTTAATTATTAGATCTGTTTATTAAAAAAACTGACAAGATTGCCTCAGGGTACACGTTTTACATGTATGCGCATTGTTGTTTATGAGACACTCTATAAAAGGAAAACATGCGGGCTAGTGAAAATGCCCGCGGGCTAGTTAAGAGTCTGTCTCAGTAGCCCGGCTGGCTAGTGAACAAAAAAGTTAAGGTCGAACCCTGCTCCAGACCAATCTAAATTTGGAAAACAAAGAAGAAACAAGGAGCAATCAAGATAACAAAACAAAGGGAAATAAAATGTAAGAATGGATTTAAATTTCCCTTCTATACGATGCTTCCCTCTGTTTGGCGTACATCTTCTTCTTCATGTGGCTTTTCTCGGTGAAGTAGCACGTAGCTGCCAGGAGGATGATCATCAGGACGCCCCCGCAGCCCACCGAGATGCCGATGACCGCCTCAATTGATAGGCCGCCCTCTGTAGGGATATAGATATTGGGCTAAATGTTCGCGGGAGGGGTGGATGTATGTGCAATATACATTCAAAAGGCCCATTCAATGGAGAATCCACTGTGCAAGCTATTGTCCAAAAAACTTTCCCGTGACAGATTATCTGAACAATAGCTAGCACAATACTTTCGCCATTTGACAGGGGCCTTATCGATTGCATTTCAAAGAATAAATTTAGTAGCGTTTCTTCAGTAGTTCTATAGCTGTCACAGGATCAAATATTGAATTTGTTGGTCGATTATATTTTTAAATCTTAGGGTTATAAAAAAACTTACTCTTTTCTTAATTTCGAATTGGAAGGCTTTTTCAAAGAGAACAAAGTATGCGAACTATGTTGAGGTAAGTATACAGAACAATTACCACAATAGTTGAGGTAAGAAAACAATACTGTGCTTTTGAAGCCCTGGGAAGTAGGCCCCTGGCTTTGGGGTCGCGTACGCAAATTATACGATATGCATTCTGGATCCAATTTTGTGGCTTTTCAATGCTTACAGTAAGTGTCGGTGGAGAATCTCAGCTTGCCTGAGTACAAAATTACGTGCTGACAATTAAAGTATTTCACAGGTCAGCAAGCCATTTTGGCAAGTCAACACGCATATATGCCAGAATGAAGGAACAGGTTCTGTGCAAACAATACATCTTTGCAAGCACTGTGAACACGGAATGGTGATGTTAATCGATGCGTTTGGCGGTTAGCAAGCCCCGACATAGTCTGAGTATCGCTCGTTCTCCAAGGAGCCCTTTCTCTGGTCAAATGTCTGATATTTCTAGGACTGCAAAATTATAGGAGTCGACTTACTAGATCATGACGTCATTTCATTCCCAAATCAGGACTAAAACTGAGAATGGTCGATTCGGATGCAGTGTTTTTGAAATACAACGGCCGGGTGCGCATAGATCTACAAAACCTAGACACGACCGTGATTGGCCGGCTCTATTATTGCCGGCATATCCCGTAACATCTCATTTCAGAGCGCGTGACCGCAGACTTTTTGGCTCAATTCACACAACGTGTCTAGGTTTTATTTGTAGATATCAATGACAAGACCTGATATAGAAAGCGCCCGCTGATTGGTCAAAATCTAAAGGTCAAGAGGCTGTTTTCTTGCAAGAGGCGGTTGTCTTGCATAGTTAATCAACAAATCGGAGACTAGCCCTGACACTGAGCTCTGATCATTCGATCGTGAAGCCCCGCCCAGTGACTCTGCTGTCTTGAATTAATGAGATCCATACTCACGTGGTTCGACTTTTGGGGTAGGCGGAGCCTTTGAAGTTGTAGGGACTGCGAGGGTAGCCTCCACTAAAGAAGGAAAAAAAACAACCCAAAAAACAAATACATATGGCTTCAAACACTGGGCAATATCGCGTAAGTTAACCATAGTTTGGCTAAAGTTAGCCCGAACTCGGTCTAGTCGACGATGGTTGAACTACGCTAGTCGACTATTTGGTACCAGCCTACTGGGCCTGGTCGCATCGCTGGTTATCAGTAGCCTCGTCTCGTTACCAAAGTGCAGAGGGAACCATTGACAAGAGATTAAACGTAGCGAGTTGTAGCGAGTTGTACTACCCGCTGGTGGGCCTCGGAGATATCTTCTGGTTCATTCAACAGCTCAAAGAACGTAAACAATCCAAACATACTTGTGACCGCCATATGTTGACAATGGTTCAACTAGAGTCGTTCGTACTTTAATGTTACAGCGCATGCCCACTGTTTGACAACGACCAACCATTGATTGACTAACGGTTGTTGCGCAAACTTGCCCACTGATAACACAACAAAAAGTTGATTCAATCATTGATCCAATCATGTGCTGGCTTGCAGGTCATGCATAGCGCCCCCTTTTGTTTCCAGTCCACAATCTGGCAGTCATTAGTTCATCACTCAGAACTTACCCAATGGTGCCTGGCAGATATATCCGGCTTTGCCAAAGCAGTCTACGTTTCTCCACAGGCCTCCGCCCTCGGTCACCATCTGCACGCAAATGTCGGCCCCTACAGGCGTCGTTGGTTGATCGCTGGCCCAGTTGGTGTAGACGAAGAGTGAACCGTCGATCCACTGGAACTCTGTCAAATAAATTTGGATGTGGAATTTCCTTAACTAGTTTGCCACGGGTGGTCACTAACAGAGGGCGTCAATCGCTTCTGAAAACTGGGGCTCTAATGCGAGCACGAAGCCCTAACAGCGTGGGGTTCAGGTCCCGCTAAAGGGCCCCAAAAACTTTTGGGTTCTAGATGCTCTGTGGTGCAATCTGAGGCAATTTCTGACCACTAAAAGCAATTTTTTTTAGCAAAAGATAATCTTTTAAACATCATTCTAAAGTTTGGAGTCCTCGAATCATTTCAGAAGTTTTCTGAAATATTGATGACGATTTTGGTATGTATTTTCCTTTTTCATCGGAAAACGTCCATGTTTCGTTGTATTTAATGGGTATTCTTCAGCTCATAGAACAGTATTGATCAGTGGTGGACATCCAGATGAATTTTGTGATCTTCATATAAAAAAAGACGTACCTTGGAAATACAGTACTCAAATTACGTGAAATTTTCACAGTTACTAGTCGATACTTTAGGCCTGCGTTTTTTATTTATGAATGGAGCGGGCCACATATTTTGAATTTTTTTTTTTTCCAATTTGGTAACTTTCTTTTTGATTCACCCTGTATTACAGTGTACATGTATCTGTGCATCTATTAAACCCTACAGTTCTAGTTTGGGGGGCAGGCAGGACCGTTTAGGGTGGTACAGGGGACCAAATATTGAACTGACCTTCGTTTTGGTAGATGAGACCCAGCCATACATTGTTGACCTCTAAGACGCTGCGAGCCGTGGTCTGAAGGAAAGTGTTAACCTCGCTATCCGTGCTGCTAGCCATGAGGACGCTTGCGCCTCGGTTCTGGCATAAGACCAGCGCCTCCGCGTAGCTGACTTCGGTATTCTGGTCGTCAAAGAAGTAGCATTCGCTCTTGAACTCAAACCAGCCCGAGCGGCAGAGGCCGGATGGTGGGTTGGGAGGGGGTGGCTTGGGCGCTGCGATAACAAAAAAAAAAGACTGCAAGTAACTTCCGCGATCCCCCTGGCATCCTGCCAAATTGTATACATGTACATGTAGACAGGCAGTTAGTAAGGACAACTTTCAGTGACGGCCTTGATTGTCCACCCAGCAGGTACCAGTTCTCAGTTGAATGGGGAGTTTGGCTTGGAGAGTTTTGGGTGAGACACCCGACTAACATATGTTAAAGTCATTAGTAATACTGAGCTGAGTTCTCCAGAGACCTCGTAAACATCCATATTGGAAAGGATTTTTGTTGACGTAGGCCTTCTCTTCAAAAATCACATTTCAAGTTTGGTTGAGATTGATGCTGAACTTAAAGTGGACTGTAACATACACACGGGCACACAGAAAAATATGTGATACACACAGGATATGCCGGGGGGGGGGGGGGGGGGGGGGGGGGGCTTGAACCATATTTTCAATGGGAAGCACCACACCACCCCCCTCTGGATCTGTGCCTTGCCTGGCTATTAGTTTTTTTTGGGGGGGGAGGGGGATAGACCATTCACATGCAGTCGTTAGCTTCTATCTTTTTTTTTGGCCAATTTATTATTTTTTTTGGGGGGGGGGGGGGTAAACAACATGGGGGGAACAACATTTTGGGGAGTTTCCAATAGAACCGCCCCTGTAGGCATCCTTACTTTTACACCAACGGTGATACCATCTTATTTTAATACCTGTTGTCGTCTTGCAGACCAAAGGGTACGCATCGTAGCAATTCACGTTTTTCCAGCCTTGGTGAGTCATAAGTACGCAACGGTTGAGGTTGCCGGATCCCGTCGGGTAGCCGCTTGCCCAGCTGGTGTACTGGACAGGCCATCCGTCCAGCCACTCAAACTGCTCCATTGCCTGACGAAGGATCATTCGGAAAAAACGGAGCAGTTTATAGAATAGCTGATTAATTGAAGGACCAGGGGCAAATTTCACGAAAGTCGTCTTATCTTGCGACTCATCTTAGGACTTAAGACGAGTCTCCGCTCTGAGATTCATCTTAATAAAATAAGTCGGTCTCTGGTCAGCGCGCGCGTCGATTTTAATCATGCGCGTCAATCTTTTTTTTTTCCAAAATGTTCCGCGGTAGCTCCAACAGCGCCCTCTATTTCCGCTCCTCCTCAATTTTTTTTTTTACCAAAGAGCACCAAGGAATGGGAAATTGCACCAAGGCAAATGATCAAAAGCACCAAGGCAAATTATGGAGGACACCAATGCACATGAGGACTCCAAAAAAGCAAAATAGTACCCCACCTTGTCTGTACAATCCAAGCTTGAAGAAAAAAAAAAAAAGCAAAAAAAAAAAAAAAAAAAGCCGCGTGGCCGCGTCAATTCCGGAACTTTGGTCTGACCAGAGACCGAATATTTTTTTTTTTGGGCTTAAGATGCATTCTAAGAAATCGATTTCACTAAACTCATCTTAAGCAAGACGCATCAAAACTACCAATTCGATGGCTGTTTCAGGTTTGTTTTAACCGCTTGACGAAACAGTTTTTGAAAATAATACGCGCAAAACCATAGATATAGAATGAAAAGACTTTCTATTCTATATCTATGGCGCAAAACCAATTTCCCGCGTGCGCACACAGAACTAGAACTTTAGCCAGAAAAAATTTACTCTACTCAATAAATTTCACATGCAAGGTAGTTCTACACAAGATGCGATGGAGTCCTTCTTGCTCTCCGTGTCACCACTCTGTCTGAAAAGTGGACTAGTTGTTGGCGTATAATTCAATTTTGTAAATCAGTTATTTTAATTCAACCTACCCACACATCATAAATCTTTTCAAATTATGTTTCTACAGCGGTTTTCTTCCTCGAAACTATAAAACCCGGCTCATACTTCACGCGAAAGCGAAATTTTTGACGTCAACAATACGTTCAAGGAGTTATAATAATGATTCACTGCATCCTGGGGCGTGAGCACACTCTTACCTCCCTCTGCATTCCGATCCAAACCATGTCCACACCAAAGTACGACATGAACATCTCGATGAAGGCCTCTTCGTAGGCGTCCCCCACGGACGCCAGGTAAGCACCGTCCTCTTCGCAGTCACCTTGTGCGTTGGAGAAGGTGGTGTTGTGTGTGAGGATCCTGAAGCAGGAGACTCCGTCGGAATGATAGTTGGGCTTGTTGGGGCAGGGCGTGTAGGGGAAGGGCTGTTCTTCGTGTTTTACATCTTGATATGAAAAAGAAAAAAAAAGAAAGAAAACAAACGGCATAAGCTAAAGAATGGGTAGCTGGACAACTTTTGACACAAGGTGGGGCTGTTCACGATAGAAAAAGAAATTTTGCTTTATGTGCAATGAGATGGCATGGGGAATCGGCGTGGGATTGGTGCAGGATTGGTTGCCAAGATTGCAGTTGTGCCACACAATACAGGCTGGATTGGAGTCTATACACTGGTCTTCGACCACAATAACTTGTTCAACCTTGTCAAGAGATTGGGTAATGATAATGATTGATGTACTTTCATTTGATCCGAAAATTATTTCAACTTTCTCACCAAGCCGCATTTCGCATACGAAGCCGTGTTCCGTTTCGCAATCGACGTCACTCCACCTTCCTGCGTAAGTCGGGTTGTTGACCATCAAAACACAGGAGTCAATCTGATAAACAAATTGCGACCAAAAAAAAGAAGAAAAAATTGATGAAAAAGTTATTGGCAAAACTCAATTTGCAAATTTGGAATAATTTGCTGCCTGTCAATATTTCATAACAGGCACAAAAACAGCCCCCAATCAAAGCCTTTTTTGAGATTTCCAGATTTTCAAAAAAAAAAAAAAAAAAAGGACTTTGAAAGAAAAATGACGGTGCCCTTCCCAGAGAAACAGTAACTGAATGTAGAAAGATCGATCACTTGAGGAACAAAAAAGAAAAAAAATGCCCGTGCTTATGTCTCTTTTTTTGTGTCTAAGCACGATCCTTGTTTTGAAAAAGAAAGTCATATTCTTGTAGACCTAGTGGTTTACCATAAATGTATTAAGCATAATTATTGTGATAAAAATACCCTGTTTTCGTCGTCCTGCTGTTGGTACGGGCTATTGGGTTCACCCAGGGCCCAGTTCGTGAAGTCCAACGCGGACCCGTCCGCCCAGTGGTACTGGTCAAACTCCCCATAGCGGTTCAGGCCGATCCAGACGTTGTTTTGGACGGTTTTCAGGGCAAAGCTCAGAAGTGCTGTGGGAGGAATCAGTTCTTTTAAGTTGGTGGGGAAAACAACACATCGAACTTGCCAACAGAACAGCACTTACTGTGTACTAAATCAACTCTAGTATAATGTTGTGCAAACTTGACGTGAAACTGACTTTGGGTTGTGTCGGGTCGGTTTTTCCATCGGTAAGGTTAGGCCTGGGCGAGTAGTGGATTTTTCTACTCAAGTACCCGCAAAGAAATTACTCGCGAGTAGTCGAGTACTCGTGAGTACTTAACCGAATTCCCATAAAAGCAGAAATATGACACATACGTAAAGTATGATGGGAAGTACCTACAAGCAAATAGCATGCAAGTCACATCACATTCTTCAGCACTGAGATATCCTTACTACGTGACATTTTCAGGTCATTTACTTGAATTGTTTTTTGCTGAAAAGGAATCCTAGGGAGAGAGAGGTGGAGGGAGTGATTCTCTGTTTGCAGGGGACGTATTAAGCCGTGGACCTAAACCTAAATTGCTACTCACGAGTAACTGCTTCTATTCATGCAAGGATGAGTGCTCAAGTAAATGAAAAACCACAAGCAGAACAACGAGTAGCATAAAGTACTTGTGAGTAATCGAGTTACTCGCCGGTGAAATTGCATTCCTATAATGAGTATGGAACCCACATACCTTGAACACCTTGGCTGTGGATTGCAGCTACTTCTCCCACGCGGTTCCTACATTCTTTGTGAGCGTCCATCCATGTCATGGGTTCATCCATGGAACTCAGATCGTAGCACCTTCAAACAAGTCAAGAATAATGAATGATCAATAAATACTCTAGCCTTGATGACAAGTCGTTAGATCGTCGTATTTTGTCTGTGAACTTCAGCCGAACTCCATTGGCGCGGCTGGTGTAAGACTAGTACGTAATCGGCCGGGTTGCGACATATCTAACAACTTGACGATTACGTCTTGCACCCTTATTCATATATGCAAGCAGCCTAATACATATGCAGTACATGTTTGCGGTGAGATCCAATGGCGCACTGCTATGCAAATGAGGACTCATTCACTCCGGATACATGGGAGTTCTACTCAATACATCGGGGACATGTTTTAACAACCAAAACAGTCAGCAAGGTCAATTGTGTATTGAAATAAAATTTATCGTTGTGATATACTTTGTTTATTTGAGTCGTGTATGCCCTACATTTGTTTTTGTAATGTTACACAACACAAAGCACAAACCCTTGAAAAAATAAGAACAATATTCAGTGGCGGCCTAGAATACATTCTGGAATCTGAACCGATCAGAGTGCTCGCATAGAATTTGCTAGCGATTCAAAATACGGAATTTTAAACACAACCACCCTTGTTTTAGTTCTGTCCACGGATCAACAAAAGGTAAGTGTTCTTTCAGCAAAAGGAAAACAAATCACATAGGGATGGGTGTGAATTGTTTGTTTTGCTGAAAAAAAAACCGCCCACCTTTTTGTGAGATCCGTGGACAGAACTTTAAAACGGTGGTTGTGTTTTAACTTCAAAAGTACATAAGTGATTTGAATGATTCTTGTACTAAAAAAAAGCTTATGAATTGGGCTTTCATACCCTAGATTTTGAAAGTGCAACATGCAGAGCTTCACTAAAACAGAAGTCCCGACATTTGGGTTTCACTTTTTTTGACTCACCCAGTTAAATGGTACCAACCTGTCTTTCAGCCTGTAAGTGCCTTTAGCGCATTCTCCCATTGGGGGCTCCTTGGTGGGAACAATGGGTTCGGTCTGAGAGGTATCCCACTTGCAGATGTAAGGTCGTCGGATGCCGCAATTATGGTCTTCCCATTGTGCTGTAGATTAAATTCAAATCGCATGTTTTTAAGTTTGTTCCAAACGGGGTCCCACTTACAAAAAGCTATAACACCCTTTCATTGCTGAGTACTCGGTGCAGAACAGTGGTGCTCCCTGGATTTGGCGTTTTTTGAGGGGTGGCTCAAAAATTTTGAGAAAAATGTTGTCCACAATTTTTGGCCGCAGAAAATTGAAATGTATTCCTAATTCGACGTGTCTCACAAAGGTATAACTTATGACGCTAAAGTGTCTCCCAAAGATTATACTTGTTATAATATTAATGTATACAACCAAAATAAAAAGTCCCCCCCTTAATACTTTTTTTTCTAACTCAAAAACTACTGGGCACATCTTGCTCAAATTACGATTCCTTAGCAATCAAGCCATACTCTTTGTTTGGCCCAAAACAGTGATAATGTGTACACAATTATGCAACTGTTGACAAATGGTACCGAAAAAAAAGTTGCACTTTTGTATGCATGCAAGGTGAGTGTGAACCACAACTTGCACAAATACAACAGTGCAACTGTTTTCGGTATCATTTGTCATAAATTACATAATTCCTACACATTATCACTGTTTTTGACCAAATAAAGAGTATGGCTGGATTGCTAAGGAATTTCTGTACTGATTAGTCGTTATTTGAGTGAGAGGTGCTCAGTAGTGTTTGAGTTAGACAAAAAAGTATTGGAAGGGGGACTTTCTTTTTCGGTTGAGTGTATATGATATATCACATATAATGTGTGCACCAACATGTACTCTAAAAACACATTTTTTTCTTAGATGGTTTCAGTTTTCTCAAGCTAAGGGATTTGTCTTCAATGAAAATACGAGGTGAGGTGAAATTGTTGCGTTGGCGGCGAATAAGTGGTGGTCGGAAAAATTTTCTCTACACAGAGCAATACACCATAGCCTAAATGTTTTCCATTTTTATGTGCTCTTACCGTTCTCATTGATGAGCACACAGTACTCCATGCCGTTCCAATTTGTTTCGTCGTCTGGAGACCATGGATTACTGTCCCCTGTATCAAAGGCAGTTCCATCAGACCAGCTGGAACCAAAAAACAAAACAAAAAACCCTAAGAATCCATAGAAGGCAAATACACAAAATGAAAACCAGCCAGGAAAGTGTTGACATGCGGATGAATTTTTAATTTTTTTTTCATTCTCAGAGGACTGATAACACCAAGGTGCCAGCATGATATAATGAGTGGTCATCGTCTGTATTTAAGTTTCCTAACACTGGAACTGTCACTATATAACCTTGTGGGCCATCAAAACAAAGAACAACAATCGACAGGAACAATGGGACCTCGCAAGTCCATCTTTAGAAAGCTCAGCACCCCGCATTATTTAACAAAAAGCCCCATGGAATGAGAAACGATGACTTGTTTCTCAAAAATTGTAAAAAACAAAGACACTTACAACCAATCTCCCGGCGATGTGACTCTGTACAGGCCCATCCAGAAGGATTCTTTATCTGGAGCAATCTAAGACTCAAAAGAAGAAATTATCTGCTTCTAGCAATATTGAATAACAGCATGTTCGATCAAATAGAAATAAGAAGATTCGAGTTTTCAATGACTGAATCCTCCTTATGCATATGGACGCAGTGCTCAATTCTCCCTCGATGGCGACAAATAGGGTGATACGAAGGAAGACACAGGATGGAGTTCCTCCTTACAAACTTATTCCAATCTATAATCCCCTATGACTTCAAACTTGAAATGATCTCCCAATACGGCTGCTTACTGAAACTTAACTGCGCGGGCAAGGGACAGTGAATGCACCAATCAGGAACTGCGAGGTAGTACTAGGAATGGAACTACGAAAAACTGCCCCACTTGGCGCACCGCAGGGCACGGATAATCAATTATCCAGTCAACCAGACTAGTCAGCAAGCTCAAGTGACGGTTGTTTGCCGTGTTTACAGTCATTTGACAACTATACAACCCAGAAGTGATAGTCAGCAAATGGTTGAGTAGATTTTGACGTGAACTGTAATTTGCAGTACGACCGTACGACCGTGGGTGTAAAAAGCGATAGTGAGGCGCAGAGAGATGCTAAATTTGCTGGGGACTTCTACTCACCAGGTTTTGGACGAAATCCCGTTCCCCGTCATTCTTCAGCGTGGTCAGGTGAGCCTTGTTGTCGTTGCACCACTGTTCCGCTTCCTCCCAACTCAACCAGCTGGTATCATCTGCCGCATCGCTGACGTAGTAACAAGAATCCTCCGAAAAATACGACCAGCCATCTTCGCCTGTGGCATGAGGAAACCGAGAGTGAAGAAGTCTTAAAGCTACTAACCTCAGAGGTTGACAGAAGTTTTTTAATACTGATTTATGACAAAAACAGTTGTCTGCACTTTGACTACTATCACGTATCTGTTGGTCAACTGCAGGGTACTCCCCAAGCTGACGGACCATCTTGGTTACCGCAGTTAGGGAGTCAGGTCGGTGTGGCAGTACTTTCCTCGCCTTCCACCGCTGTGACCCGGGTTCGAATCCCGCCCGGGCCAACATGTGGACTGGGTTGTCAGTCCCTACCTGATTCCGTGTGTTTTTTTCCAGAATATTCTTCTGGGGTTTTTCCTCCCACCTCTAAAACTGTCATTTCTTCTCATTTTCTCCTCTCTACAGGTTTCTTCAGGCTTGCGAGCTACAGTGCCTTTGAGGAATCCTTGGTTTTATTACCAGAATTAAATACTACTACTACTAATAATTAAAACCCATTAACGAGGTGTTACCATACATGCTCAATGGCTAAGCTAACACTCGCTTTTACAGGGGTGGATACAGTTTTGGATCGGGGGGGGGGGGGGGGGGGGGGGGGGGAGGGGGAGGGGATGGGGGAAGAGATGGGATTTCAGCTGTCAGGAGGGGGCAGGGAAGCCAATAAGCAGGCATGTGCTTCATTTTTCTTCATTTAAACAAAAAATTTTGCTGGAGAGGGGGTTACATCCCCCTTTGATAGTCAAATACAATTTGTGAACAGTAACATATCAAAAGTAAAATTTGTCATTTTTGGAGGAAAATTTGTAGCTTTAATTTTGTTAAAGTTCTTACTTTGACAGGTCTGTGAAGAAAGTCTTAACTGCATATGACAAGTTCATACTTTAAGCAAATAACAAAACCAAAGTACCATTAAACTTACATGGGATTGGTGGGCCAGGTACTGTAACAAAGGAAGAAAAACAACATACAGTTAAGAATTAAGTTCGGATGCTTGAAACAATTAACCACTTCGCTCCTGGTTTCCCAGCCCACTTTCTGATCTAAAGCTAAACGCAACAAACACCGATTAGCTTGAGTCATTTCAACAGTATTTGTATGATATTTCTTGCCGAAACCTCATATGTTTCAAAACTCTGAGGTGTGCACTCGGGGTAAATTGTACAACGATAGGCCGTGCACACATACTGGGATTTGTATTCTTGCAGAGTCATTTCTTTGTTCTCGTGTACCAAAATTTTAGAGTTTGGAAGTGTAGTTTCAAAATGCTCCTTTATTTTAACCAGAATTCAATTCCTGGGCTGAAATTCGGACTTAATATCCCTTACATAAAATACTTCAATTTGCGACGGATCAACACCTAGGAAATTCCTCGTTTTTGATTAAAATCCATATATATCTATTTTTTGATAACACTGTGGTGACGTATTCACCTATAGAAATTGCCCTGCGGAGATGTATACAATCTTTTGTTCCCTATTATGTGCATGTCTCCACAGGTACTGTGTATCAGATCACAACGCATAGCTGCCAACTTTTCAAAATCCCAATTAGTAATCAACCCACGCGGTTATTTTCAACTGCTCGTTTTATCAAAAGCTTTACCAACATCGAGTACAGGTACATGGTTTACATGTACACATACATGTGCATACCCTTCTTGTTGTGAATAATAATGTACTGTAGGCTAAAAGATAATTTGTTGAAGTCAAATAAATAATAACAATAATAACGTGCGCTTTTTGTTTTTGTTTTGAGATGCATGCTATCGATGTGGAGTTTTGAGTTCGTATCATACTATCAATGTTTTTACACACAATGATTTAGGGCCACCGTATGCAATAGAAATATCCCGCCAACATACCTTGCAAACGCATGCTGATTTATCTTTTCTGGACGTTGTGACAAACTCAAACTCTATTACCAATTATTCCAACCATACTCTTATTAAATTCCATGATTAAAATCTCGCACTGATGGGTCTCATCCCGGCAATAAGTGACCAAATGTGCTCACGATCGTCACTGAAAAGCACTCACATACAGTACACACAACCACACATTCACGAGATGCACACAAATGACACACCATTGAAAAATAGTTTTAGACTGGTCCTCAAGTACTCCACTGCGCACACTGCATTGATGTCTATCAGGTGCTTGACTGCATTCTTATTAGACTTGTCACCAGTCCCATCATTATCGCGACATTTCGCCAGAAGTTTTCGGTCAAAAACGATACTTTACAAGTATTTTTTTTTGTTAGGTAGAAAATGGGAAATTCGTAATGTTTTAGTGGCAAATCGTATTTTCGTAATTTAACAAACAATTCGTAATAATTACGAAAATTTTGTAACAGTTGGCAGCTATGCAACGGCTCAAACAACAGTGGACACGCAGTCCACTTCCCACGGACCTTGTGTGTGTGTACAAAAGGCACAAGGGATTAGTGTGTTAAAGCTATAGTCCATCATTTGCAATTAGTGCATTTTGTTCGTTTGAAGCAGCAAAAGTGTTCAAAATCTAATGGAGGATACTGAACAACTTACTTGATGAAGTTTCAGCTCAGCTTCAGCTTCATATTCCGAGAAAAATAGCATTCTAGGATCTCAATTTAAAATCAAAAGTTCCTAAATCATGTTTCAAATTGTTTTGAATTGCAGCTTTACGCGATGTCGCGCACTGATCCGACAAATTATAGCAACCGCGCGTGCCTGTGCGTCGTTCCAATGCTTGTGCGCGCTGCGCCGAATAACAAAACGAACAACTAATTTAAATTTTCCTACGGTGCTTCTTAAGAAACACCGTTGGAAATGCCTTCTTTCGTTGATTTCTTCAAAATGAGAGCTTGCCAGAAAGGATAATTTCACAGGGAGTTTAGTCCCCTTACTATCTTTCAACCAGTATGCTTTTCAACAATAATTACGCCAGTTACTTTTTTGGATAGCTGCAAATGATGGACTCGGGCTTTAAGACATCACCCGGAGGCGAGTCGAGGCAATCTTGAAGTCCAAATAACCTGTCAGCCGTACCTGTGCCAAGGAACAGCCAGCGCGTGTTATCACGGCATTCGGTGCGAATTGGTTATCAGTGCGTACACACTGGTAATGTATACAGTCAATAGACATGCCAAAAAAAAATCTCCGGCGACGCGGCCTTTTTTTTTTTACCTTTTTTTTTTTGCTTCAAGATGTCAGCTGATGACTGCAAATGGTGCCCGACTAAACTTAGTGCAAATATATGGGAGGCCACATAAAGCTTATTCCTCGATCATAACCCCATCTAAAAACACGTTCACATTGTGCAGCAGCAGGATTCCAGTCAAACCAGTGAGTTTGGTGGTTTTGAGACATCATCTTTTATTGAAAAAACCCCAACTTTTTCATGTTGCCGACCCGCATGGCTACGGTGACGCGCCCGCATACCAGAAACTGGAGATTTTATTTTTTTGGCCTTAAGCAGCATATTTTCTGTTTTAGAACACCAGAAAAAGCCAGGCATTCAAAAGACACCAAAAAAAAAAAAAAAAAAATTAGAAGTAATTTTTTTTTACATGGGTCGTTTTCGCAGACCAATCCACCCCATTTGAAGCAACCCTCGTGTTGCCATTCTCCAGTCTCGGTACTCAGACTGATGCAATCACTGGTGGTATCCACGGCATCTGAAGCCCAGTTGACATAGTCAATGATTCTCCCATCTTGATAGGCATAATATCCTGTCAGAAGGAAAAACAAAACAAAAGAGGCACAAATGAAGGATTAACAATAATATAAGTTATCCCGCGAACGCGAGTGGAACACGGAATAATGTGCGTCTGTGGCCCAGACGCACCACATTTTCTGTATTCCACGAGCGCGAATGTGTCCTCAAGCAAACTTGACGCACGTGTACAGCAAATTACACGAGCCTTTTAGGAGATTAGCACATGTAGCTGGGATGTTGCTCGAATCTTGGAATAGCGCAATACGCATTGTGCGATACTATACAAATATTGAGTGGCTCAGAGTGAAATGCAAAGAATATTATCGCAAGGTGAAAAAGTCCAGATTTTTCCGAGCGATAATATTCCTCCCATTTCACAATTTAAAGCCACTCAATATTTGTTTGATATAGATACTTGTCATTTGATATATTTGAATTTTTTTTTCAATACAAAATTGCTGGAAAATGTATTTCTCTCTTCCAAACCACCCCTTAATTCACGAAAATGTTTTAACCCAACTCTGTAACGCTGGCTCGGAACAATACATGCTATGTGCAATGCTGAATGTGCACACCAGCATGCATTTGCACACAAATACCGCGTCATGGAACAGGAATGATCCTGTTCATAATAGTTGTTAAATTTCAGCACTTATATCTCATTAACCTTCCTATGCAAACATATATTCTGTGCCAAGTGGTCCTTTCAGTCAAAATCAATCAAGTGACTGCTTTCAACAGTTAAGAATTCCCAGCCTAAATAAACAGGATTGACCGGCCGGGACTGCTTAAGTAACTTGATACAGCTATGCTCTGACTCCGGGTGAGTGATAAAACAGCTGTGACGGCAACCTGCCTGCTTTGTCTGTTGACCCAGTTTGACTGTACTGAATTATCCGTATCTGAAACCAAAATTTATTTGGGCTGAATTGAGTTGCCCCTTTAAACTTCTTGGTTCAGCGTGACTCTGAAATGATAATCTGTAATGGGTACTTGTTACTACTTTCACCCTCTTCAATTCATCGCCACCACAACCGACTTACCCTCCACTGATTGGTACAATCCCAGCCAAATGTTTCGGTCCCCGAGATAGAAGGCAGCCTGCCTGCTGAAGTCGATGTTGGCCCTGTAACCGTGAATTCCTGGCAGCGTGGCGTTGTACCTAAGGGTGCACTCGGTCTGGGCCTGGTGTATAACAATTTAGACAATTCCTTATCTTTTATGCATTTTTTTTCTCGAATGAAGCAACAAAAGTGCTCAAAATCCACAAAATGCTTTTTTAACCTGATGAAGTTTTAGCACTGTTAGTCAACCCTTTACTAATTAGGCAAATTAACAGACACCTAGTTTTCCCCCTTTTTGTTTGCTGGGCTAAATATCACAATGTTATCATTGTTCACATGATTTTCCATAAGGTTTTAATAGGGTAAGTGTGCCAGTAAGCAATTTGGTAAATTTGAAGCTCATCAATACATGAGGTTTGGCAAGACTACTTGACTACTTTAGGGTATAATAGTAGCCATTTTGGATCGTTATTAAGTCCTCATAATTATTCAGTCATTTATATGCTTTAGAAAATGTTACTCAAGTAAGGATGTGTAAGTAGAATCACCAAAATAAAATTTTCAAAAAATAAACATTTGCCCAAATATAGGAAAAAATATATTACACGGCAGGTATTAACGATTAATGCAAATTAAGTATATTTAGGGTCAAACTGAACGATGGCATCCACCCACATCTTGTTTGTCATGGTTCAAAGAATTGATCTAGCATGGATGCCAGCTTTTTCCAAAAAAATGCCGTGAAATTAATTTCTAGAGATTTCGGCTGGCCTGCTACCAAGCACAGGCTACAATAATGTCAAAAATAATAACCCTGACGAGATTTCCTTGAAAAGTAACTCACATCGGAATACGTGAAGTGAATTTGTGGATACTGTCCCGTCAACGTGTCAAATTTATAGCAGTGTCCCCCAATGAATGTCCAGCCGTCGGCACAGTGAGTGACTTCGGGATTTATTGTCACCGTGGCTGTGGATAGAAAAAAAAATAGAACATTTAAAGATTTAGTCCATTTGTAATTTGTGCTTTTTGTTCGTTTGAAGCAACAAAAGTGCTCAAAATCTAAAGAAGGGTGCTGAACAACTAACCTGATGAAGTTTCAGCTTAGCTTCAGCTGTATAATTTGAGAAAAACAACATTTTAGGATCTCGATTTCAAATCAAAAGTTGCTGAATCATGTTTTGAATTGGGCCTGAATTCAGCGTCCGAGACACGTTCTCACTGAGCCGATTGCAGCTACGCGATGTCGTGCACCAATCTGATGCATTATAGCAACTGCTCGCGCGTGTGCGTCGTGTCAATGCTTGCGCGCGCTTCGCCAAATAAAAACACCAACTACTAACGGCAATTTCCAACGGTGCTTCTTAAGATGCACCGTTGGAAAGGCCTTCTTTCCTTGATTTCTTCAAAATGACAGCTTGGCAGAAAGAATAATTTCACAGGGAGTTTAGTCCCCTTACTATCTTTCAACCAAGTATGTTTTTCAACAATAATTACGCCAGTTGTGTGATTCACGGGCTGAATCACGCGCTAATGTCTTTCACACACATTTTATGCGCGTGACATATTCACTTCGGTACTCCATACTCGTCATGACCGTTACGTCCATTCCCAGTGGCTTCTATAATTCTCTGAACAAACTATCATCGACAGGAACGTGAAACTGTTCTCCATTAATTAACCCTAGTACCCAAACACACATTCTGGGCAGAGTTGTCCTTTCAGTCAAATTCAATCAAGTGACCAGGCCCGTCGCCAGCTCTGGTCATAAGGGGGGCCACAGTGCAAACTAAGGGGGCACACCACAAGAAAAAAGCAGTTACATATAATTTTTACGCTTATGGTTTTTGCCGATGGGGGTGGGGGCAATTGCTTGCCAGGAGGAGGGGGGGGGGGGGCGCTGGCTGGCCTCCCCGTGTCCCCTTGGCAACGGACCTGCAAGTGACTGCTTTCAGCAGTTAAGAATTCCCATCCCGCATAAAGCAGGATCGACTGGCTGGGACTGCTTAAGTAACTTGATACAGCTTTGCTTTGACTCCGGGTGAGTGATAAAACAGCTGTGGCCACAACTTGCCTGTTTTTGTTTGTTGACCCAGTTTGACTAGTCACAGTGCTTGCTTGACATATGATCTGACTGCTGGTGACTAATCTTTGTTAAAAGTATTGCAGGGGAAGTGGAAGTGAATTTTGACGTCTGTGACTGTTTAATTAGCAGGAGGTTTAATTAATTCAGCTAATACTAAATTAACCGTTTCATGTTATACATTTGCTTATTAGTTTTACTTGGGCCACTCTCACCAGTGATGTCACCAACTTCAATGCCTATTCAATGCTTAACCCAGATTCAGCATGTCCAGGTGAGAGTGGCCCAAGCAAAATTCACACCCTTTTCACTTAATTGATTGTATTTATGGATGTAGGGACCCAAATGGAATGAGGTAACAAGGAGTGGATTGAGAAATAGTCAGGCTTTTAATAACATAATATCAAATTTCATTGAAGAAACATTTTTTAACAGTTTTAGTTATTTAATTTCTGAATGTTGCACTTTTTTTTTTAGCACACTTTCACAAAAGAGCTCACTCACTTTCAGTGTATTCGCAAACGAACATGTTGAGGGTGTCGCATTCCATATCCACCCAGGTGGAGTTACGATGGAGCGCCCCACAGGTGTTCCCCTTAGGGTATTGCTTCTCCCATTTCGCGTAGGTCAGGGGCCACCGGTCCTCGTTGGGGTTTGGGCGCTCCCACCCGTAAACGTTCGTATTGTCCTGCAGATTCACGGAGAAATGTTTGTACATGTACAAACGGTTATGTGAGGTGTTGCGTGATAAAAATGAGAATGAAATGGAAAAAGTAGACAATTTCCATCGGTTTTAGATTTTTGCTGTCCTTGTTGCCAGAAGAATTTCAGTCATTCGCCTTATTTTTAGTTCGGTTCGGCAGTTTGGCTGCAGCACTAACCACGTCAAGATGGGGATGAATGTGACGATGGTGAAGATGATGCTGCTGCTAAGTTTGCTAACAAGGTTTTATCGTCTTACTTGTGTCAAGCCGATCCATACGTATTCAGGAGTGGGCTTGAACCAGTTGACAAGCAGGGACAGCAAGGAGTTGTAGAAGCCGTCCCTTACTGTAGATAGCCAGGCGCCTTCATTTATGCAATAGTCCTGGGCATCGTTAAACGACAGCGTTTGGCTGACCAGCTTGTAACAGCCGTCTTTGAATTGACTGTAGCCCGGCTGACCATCGCACTCCTGAGGGACGACTACGTTTGTTGAATTCAAGTCTTTGTCTGAGGGGTAATTGCAATATTTAAAGGTACAGTCAGTCCATCATTTGTAATTTGTGCATTTTGTTCGTTTGAAGCAACAAACGTGCTCAAAACCTAAAGAAGGGTGCTGAACAGCTAGCCTGATGAAGTTTCAGCTCAGCTTCAGCTGTATATTTTCGAGAAAATCAGCATTCTAGGATCTCGATTTGAAATCAAAAGTTGCTGAATCGTGTTTTTCAATTGGGCCTGAATTCAGCGTCCGAGACACGTTCTCACTGAGCTGATTGCAGCTACGCGATGTCGCGCACTGATCCGACAAACTATAGCAACTGCACGCGCGTGTGCGTAGTGTCAACACTCGGCGCACGCTTTGCCGAATAAAAAAACGAACTACTAATGGAAATTTTCAATGGTGCGTCTTTGGACGCACCATTGGAAATGCCTTTTTTTGTTGATTTCAAAACACAGGCCATCCTGAGGCCGGTTATAAGCACGCAGCGTGTCCCTCCCACTGAGGCTCTTAAAAATAGTCACACGGCGCTATCTACTGTCGAAACACGGAGTCCACGTTCCTGGTAATTGAACAACTTACACAAAGGTGTCTGACAGATGAATCCTCGGCGTTCCAGGCAATTGATGTCGTCCCATTCCCCAAGATATTTAGGATCTGTCCTCACTTCCACACAGTCACGGAACGGCTGCAGTAAAAACATACAGTCAGACCCTTTACATACAGTCAGACCCTTTTTTTTCATTCCCAATCCTAAACCGTTGGAGTATACATACAAAAAGTCTCAGAAAGGATAACGTGCACTAGTACTCTCATCTCATATATAAAGACTGGATAGCGTCACAAAGACCGCATAAGAAACAAATTTGAAGCCATATAGTGAGGAGACCAGTTGGTGTTCTATAAAGGACAAGTTGTAGCCTTAGGTAGTTGTGATACATGGTAACATCTTGGTTCACTTGTTTTCCACCACCAGCACTAGCTATGGGTCTCATCTGTTTAAATGTTGTGGGGTCACTTTTAGAATGCCGCATTTCACTTGTGGCAACGTTTGGAATATATTATCAAGACAGAAAGTTGTCCTTTATAGAACATCATAATATGTGTATGCGATCAAAATGCGCATCAACTCTTGATACAGCGGTGGCACCAGCTTCGCGTAAGTTGCACTCTGGGAGTATGCATGCACTCCGGGCTCATTCGACCAATATAGGAAGACCTAAATGTGCGCGCACATCGTCTTCAAGAACGAGTGCGGCATGCACACGAGTGTGACACCACCGCAGTAACGGTATTTCTAATTCTGGTCTCCAGATTCCACTATAGAGATCAGTGACTAGTACCACTGTTGCCACTCAGTAATAGGTATGCTAGAAACAAAAAATATTTATTTCTGGATTGTGTCATCCGGTAAGGTGTTAGGCGAGCCCTCAAATTAGAATCCCTCCCCGGACCGTTCGGGGGTTGAGCCCGCCCAGTATGTTGAAGGGATTGGGACCTTGCATGGAACCGATCGGCCTGGATTAACTCCACCAGGCTTCTGCACCATGGCTCTGGCTCATCACAAAGGAACCAATTTGTGACGCGCTAATCCTCCAGTAGGCAACAATGACTGTGATGAGCTTCATAGAAGTTGCTGCTGGTAATCCCAGCAGGCCGAATAATCCTCCAACAATGGCCAGACTTCAATCTATGTTGCCTATTGTGAAACCCTGAGTCACCAGTTTGGACCGATTGGGGCGTCACGCTTCAGTGACCGGGTGGCTTCTGGCTTCGTATCGATTGGGGTGAAAGAAATTAGCATACCGGACCCGGTACCCGAACGGTCGGTTATCTGATGGCTCGCCTTACCTCATTGGGTACGTCCGTGAAGCCGTTGGGCTGGTTGGGAGCCCATTGGCTGAAGCCTAAGGGCTCGCCATCAGACCAGACAAATTGACCCTCTTCGTTGCTGTCCGACAGGCCGATCCAGAGATTGGTCACACCGACGTAATCTTGGAGCAGGAGAGCCAGCAGAGCTGTGGCAAGACAGAAATATAAAGGTGAAACTAGTCATTTCTTGAAGTCGATTTAATCTCAAGTTAATCACAAGAGTACGCGTGTTGGTTTACGGGCTGAATAACATGCAAGTGTCTCTTACACGCATTATTGTGCGCGTGATGTATTCACTACGGTACTCTTAGCTCAGGAGGCAAAGGTATAGCCACATCCCTTTCGGCCTTCCAGCTTGGCACAAGACCACTGAGCACCTCAAAAAAACATCACGATTGCATCACAGTGTTTGTGAACAGACACAGACGCACAGTGTGTCAGTTCGTGAAAACCAATTAATCATGAATAATTTTGGTTTCATGACCTGACACTCGCGTGTGTGCGCGAACTTCGTACGCACTGATTTTTCACGAACTGAAACGCGATTATACGATGTGGAGAAAAATGCTTAAGGCTTTAACATACATTTTATTCCATCTGATTACTTGTTTGTGGGCTAACACAAAAATTTAATTAAAAACATTTTTACTGGTGAAATTAAGGTCGGTTTTAGTTCATGCAAACGAAAATGCACAGGGTGCGCGCATACAGTACCGGGTGTTAGTTTGTGAAAACGAAAACAGCGCGTACTCTTTCCTTGGAACATCAACTTTCCATTAGTAGTTGTAAATAACAAAAAATCCATGACTTTTCCCTGGCTTTCCATGATGGCGTTAAAATCACGGATTTTTAAAAGATTTTTCCTTGAACGTGAACATCGCAGTGTCATGAAATCAGCCGCATGTTGTAAAATAGCTTACACTGCTCCAGCTGATTGGTGACTTGGAAGAGTTTCCCCCGGCCTCCCCCTTCCTGCCGGCAGAAGACGTCTGCGTCAAGGTACTCCTTCCTGTCTGCATCTTGGAGACCTACCGACTGGAGACAACTGTCCTCCAGCTGGTACCAGCCTGGTAAACAGCCTCCATTTACGGGTGGTACGTATGCTGCGAATGAGAGTCACATGATCGAGTCACAAGATCAGATCAAGTCACATGATCAGATCAAGTCACATCATCAGATCAAGTCACATGATCAGATCAAGTCCTCCAAATGATAAAACTAAAATCCAACATTTGTTTGCACTCTGCAGGCTGCCAAGAGCAAAATGGGATAACCGAAAATGAACAGCACTGTACCATTTTGGAGACACTTTTTTCCCCTCACTTCGTATTCATTTTTGTATCACGATATGGTATCGCGGCATGTCACATCTGTGCAAAGATGTGGGCAAAGGAAGATGTTCAAATTTAACATCTTGAAGATCAACCTCTGTGAGCACTCTCAAGATGAGATTCTTGTCCAATACCCATCCCTATAAGCTTTGATCCCCCCCACAAAAAACCCCAACCACCACACACACAAGGTTGAAATGAACAAAATGTGTGTGTAAACTTAAGAGTTCGGTTTGAGGCAAATGGTATTGTTACATTGTGTGCTTGGGCACTGTTATTTCATTGGTCTAGAACGGCCATATGTCTGGTTTATAAAAAGGCATGTCACTCAGGGTGATATCACAATGCATTCGTTGTGCGTGTGTGTGAAACCCGCTGGCATGCCAGCTTTGCGCAATGAGAACTGCGACCTCAAACGCTCAGTCTCACGTCCGGCAGGCCATTAAAACCTTCGGTTAATTATCAAATGCAAAATCGCACTGATTTAATTTATTTCTCATGAGTCACAAAGTAAGTTGCAACCATTTATCCTTTTGAGCTATTCGGGCACGATATAACAAGACCATTGTTGACTGCTGCGATGTGGGATATGCCGTTTTTAACCAACTCGGGTGTTAAAAAACGCCATTAACTATCCCATGAGCGCAAGAGGAACACAGACTAATGTAGTGTGTCTGTGTCTCACAAGCCACGAGGCCAAAAACGGAGTGGCATGTGGAAGGCAGACGCATTTAATTTTCCATGTTCCTCTACATTCTGTATCCCCTTGAGGTCAGGACAATGAGAGGAGACTTGATCGAGGGGGTTCAAGATACTAAACGGCCTGGATGACATCAAGCCAGAAGACCTGTTTTCCATGTCTCACAACACTGGAACCAGAGGCCACAAATAACAGTTATTCAAGAAGCGGTTTAACAAGGGACTGAACTTAAGGAAGCATTTCTTCGACCAGAGAGGTTGTAGATATGTGAAATGGGCTTCCAGAAGAGGTGGTAAACGCAAAGACAACCAACCAGTTTAACACAAAATCGACAAGTACTGAAAAGAAAATGGATACGGGGTACTAAAAGGCTTAAACCTATAAATTACAACCACCAATCCTAAGTGTAAGTGCATCTTATAATAGCGCACAACGCGGAGTTGCCACTGTAGTTGAAATTGATAGAGGATTCAGGGTTTTTTTTAAAATAAGATAATGTCTTTTATACTTACACATAGGTGCCCTACAGATAAACCCTTTTTCGTCACTACAAGGAAAAGTCTTCCATTCCACCTCCACGTCTCCAGGCACAACCGTTATTTCCATGGCAACGCAATCCTGATCAATGGCGTTGCTACCAAAATTGACGTAGTCCAGTACGGTACCGTCTACCCATTGAAACTGACCGCCTGTTGAGAAATTACGGGAGACGAATCGGTGTCGTCACAAACTAGTTGAAATTATTCAGGAGATGAGGGTTCATGCTGAGATCAGTGTTGTACTATTGGAAAGTCTTCAGATCTGTCCATAACTACAAGTGTGCAGGTAGGCTTGGACAACCAAGTAGTACTCGAGTACGAGTCCCGAGTATGAGTACTACAACACTGAGATCTACTAACAATATGTACTGTCTGCTCTTTGGATAATTAACTAATGGTATCATGAATTGACTTTACTTTAAACAGTTCTCAGTCCAGGCTTTTATGGGGAAACTTACGGTCTGTTTTGCTCAGTCCAATCCACATTTCCACAGATGCCGGTGTAGAGTTTGACAGTGCACTAGCAGCCAAACTCCTATCGTCATTTAAACTGTGTACTGCTGCCAGTAAGCTTGTTCTACCAAAGTCTCCGCATCCTTCCCGAGCCTCCTCCCATGTACCAACTTCAGATACACCAGTACCGCAGTAAGGATCTATTGGATTCATTCCATCTGGGCAGGCAGAACCGGATTGAGGATCTGGCGGAGTATTGCGTTTTTCTATGTTGTACCAAAACAAAAAAATCACAACGGCAGTCAGTAATGTAGAAAGGTCACTCACTCCATTTGTATTACGCGACCAGGCTCAGCCTCACTACAGATCCAACTCACAAGGATGAACGACTGTTCTGAGCTCTAGCACTAAATGCACTGAGCGGACTCGCCAAAGTTCCAGGTGTGCGATATTCTGTCAGTTTTTTTTAATGACATCTAAAATGGAAATATTATTATTCATTTGGCTAAGATCTCATACAACAAAACACAATACAGAGAATATGACAATGAACCTTTACAGAACAAAACTAGTGGAACAGGTATAGAAAGATAAAAACATGAACAAGACAAACCCAAATTAAGATGGCCAGGATTAATACAGTGTACTTAAACACCGTGACTTGGAAGCCTACTAGATAAGACACCTTTTCCAAGGAGAGCACCGTTTACCAGAATCTTGTTTTTAAAAAGTCTTTCCTTGAAAAGTTTTAGAGAGATGTGGTCCCGAACTGATGAAACAAATACGACGTTGTGCTCGGCATTAACATGTTTATGTAGTTATCCCTTGTCAGAACTCAATAATAAACGCCAACATTTACGCGGGATCATGAATATTCAAAAATATAATTAGCTGGCTTGACAGTTTTTAACACCAGATCGGGAGCAGAGCCCTGCAAATCTGAAAGCCACCGTGCGCAGGGGTCTTTGTTGACAAGTATTTGTGGTATTCCGGCGCTGTTCAGCACAAACATTTGCTCAGCACAAACTAGTCTGGCTAATAAAAGCAGGTTACCAGCCAAAACTACACGTGATGTTTATTGCTTGTGATTTATAGTATTCAGCTGTTGTTTGCTTAGCATGAAAATCACATGGAGTTTTGGCTAGTAACCTGCTTTTTATAAGCCAGACGTTTTTGTGCTAAGCAAATTTTTGTGCTTAGCAGCGCCGTGAAATACGGCCGGTGAGTTTGGCCGTGTCGTTAATCTCTGTGTGTAGGATCCGTGGACTGGCTTGGGGAAGGTGAGCGGGAAGGGGGGGGGGGGGGCTTTGCTTGCAATATTGCTGATGGAATGTTTTACCGGACAAAGCTGTCTATGATGACGAACAATGTTTTACTCAGGTGTGGTCTTAAAAGTGTGTGTGTGTGGGGGGGGGGGGGGGGGGAAGAGATCAGTCCCTACGTGGTTATCCGTCATCTTCCTTGGGTATTCGTGGAGGGGCAACAGAAGTTTTCAACTGTTCCAAACTTCCGTGGTGAATCGTCATGAAAATCAATCCGTAGTGCAACCGTGGGACATTCGTAGGACAACTGTACTAATTCGTATTCATGGCTATTCGTACATAATTCTTGGGGATTTGTAGCTCATTCGTGGTAGAAACCTCTATGAATTAGCTTCAGTTGTCCTACGGATATGCCCGGATTTGCTAGGATTCTGCTAACTTAAAGGTTGTACTAAGAATATGTATACTTTATTCGTAGGAGAACCTTGGTCATCCGCGGCCTAATCGCAGACAACCTTGGCGTTAACGTCACGGTTCTTAGTCATACTGTCAATATTCTTCAACAATCTGTCCATATTCTTGACAAACCGTGGTGTATACATACAGAAACCTTAGGAAAGTCGTGGTTATCCTTCCTGAAACCGTAGCGCATTCTTAGAAAGTTGATGTCTCCACAAATCTTGACAGTTCATCAGGATCGATTGAATTTCTTGATAAACCGTGGATATTCGTAGCTCCAACCTCGAATGTGTGACTGGGGCTTTAAAGAATAAAAAAAAGCACCAGATTTCATACGATTCGTGCAATTGCAATCGTCTACTTTAACTCACCTAGATTGATCTTGCAGATGACTGGGTGATTGGCAGTGCAATCCTCGTCCCGCCAACCGTCGGTGGTCAGGATGCCACATCTTTCAGTGGACTGCGGCCGGTCCTCTTCCCAGTCCGTGTATGTCAAGGCTATCCGGTCAAACCACCTTAAATTGTTGATGCCCTATTTGAGCAAGAATATCGAGCTGCGTTTAATTCCTTTTTTTGCCAGTTGTTATCAGGCAGTCCTAACAAAACCAGTAGGGCTTGCTTTGAATCAGGCTTCCAACTTTATAAGCTGCATGTAGAGTTTTCAAAATGTTTACACATTGCAGAAGGCAATACCGAAATTGAGGAAGTGTTCTTGGAACAAAGTACAGTGCAACATAAAAAAACCATTTGGATTGCACCATTTTTTAACAATACCTTTCATGCACCTTGTTATGTGCAAACTACATTTCCATCTGTTTTTTTTTTATTGGGCCCTATATAAGGAATTGCAGAGTGCAGATTAGGTTTATATACAGCTGACTCAACCGACTTGTTTATTCCAGTGGTGTGGGACTCAAGTCCAGGACTCGGACTTGAGTTGGACTCGAGTCACATTTTTTTTGTGACTCGGACTTGACTCAAGTCACATTGGAAAATAACTCGGACTTGGACTAATCAGCATTTGATCTTTATTAAGGAAGATCAGATAACACAGGGCTAGGTTTTAGTTTAGTTGGAACATATATCTCTGAAGGTTATAGACTCACATTCCACTTTGTAAAAAAAAAAGAAACAAAGGGGGAAAAAGTGTGGACTATTTGAGATGGACCTGATTCCAGTCAGTCAGTCAGTCAGTTAGTTACTAAAAGTCAGACAGCCGACTGGCCCTTGTGCATGCCCTAAAAGTCAAGGAAGGAAAGCAGACTTGCTCCCAAGATCCAACCAGGGAAAAAAAAGAAGATTATACCGTTTGTGTTTCCAGTCCGATCCACGCAGTACCAACGCCGGCATTCAACAGAATGGCTTTAAGAAAGGCCTCTTGGAATGCATCGTCCACCCACGTGATAGTAACGGTAACGCGGTCGTCCTCATTTTCGCACAAATTGACTGCATCCTCGTAGGTTTGCACTGTTGTGACCAGTTTGTAGCATGCTCTATCAAACAAGATATAGTTGGGATCTGTCACGCCACATGCAACACTAGTTGAGACTGTGGGTAATGCGGGATCTGTGGTTTTTGGGAAAAAAAAAAGAATAACTTCATATAATGAGTTGAGGCGGGCTAGGGGAGGGAAGGACATGGAGTAAGGAGAGGGGCAGTAAGGGGTGTAAGGGGTGGGGGCTGAGTAAGGTACAGGGTAGGGTAGAGGTGGGGTAGGGATGGTAGCGTGGGAGGGGGAGGGATTGGGAGGGGGAGGGATTGGGTGGGGTAGGGGATGGGAAAAGAGGGGGGTAATTGGGTGTGGTAGGGCTGCCCTGCAGGAAGTGGGTTAGGGGTGGGATAGGAGGTGGTGTAGGGGTGGAACAGAAGATGGGTTAGGGGTGGGGTAGGAGGTCGGTTAGGGGTGGGGTAGGAGGTGGTGTAGGAGTGGGGTAGGAAGTGGGATAGGGGTGGGGTAGGAGATGGGTTAGGGGTGGTGAAGGAAGTGGGTTAGGGGTGGTGTAGGAAGTAGGATAGGGGTGGGATAGGAGGTGGTGTAGGGTTGGAACAGAAGATGGGTTAGGGGTGGGTAGGAGGTGGGGTAGGAGGTCGGTTAGGGGTGGGGTAGGAGGAAGTGTAGGGGTGGGATAGGAGGTGGTGTAGGGGTGGGGTAGGAGGCGGGGTAGGAGGCGGTGTAGGGGTGGGGTAGGAAGTGGGATAAGGGTGGGGTAGGAGATGGGTTAGGGGTGGGGTCGGAGGTGGTGTAGGGGTGGGATAGGAAGTGGGATAGGGTTGGGGTAGGAGGTGGCACAGGGGTGGGGTAGGAGGTGGTGTAGGGGTGGGGTAGGAGGTGGGGTAGGAGGTGGTGTAGGGGTGGGGTAGGAGGGGTGGGACAGGAGATGGGTTTGGGGTAGGGTAGAGGTGGTGTAGGGGTGGGATAGGAGTTAGTGTAGGGGTGTGGGACAGGAGATGGGTTATGGGGGGTGGGGGGTAGGAGGTGGGGTGCGGTAGGGGATAGCTTGAGAGATGTTTCAGCTTTGTCTAATTTGTTCGTCCAACCACCCTAACAAATAGACAAACAAGTCAGGTGTGTTTACAAACACAAATGCCCCGCAACGGTGACAGTTCCCATGACATAACACCACTCTTTTAACATCAACTTACATGTACCTTGGTCACATGGAACATTCATTGACAGCATTAGTGTCTTCTGTAGGTTTTATATGAATTAGTCCCTAATCCCTATACATGTAATCTCAGAATAAATACATGATTTCTATTGTTTTAGCCACTGTGAACTTGACCCTTGACCTTTTGGCCCCAAATTCAATAGGCTTCTTAGGATTACCAAGAACAATCCACAAACCAAATTTGAAGTTCATATGTTAAGTATTTCTCAAGTTATCGCGCTGACAAGATTTCTATTGTTTTAGCCACTGTGAACTTGACCCTTGACCTTTTGGCCCCAAATGCAATAGGCTTCTTAGGATTGCCAAGAACAATCCACAAACTAAATTTGAAGTTCACATGTAAAGTATTTCTCAAGTTATCGCGCTGACAAGATTTCTATTGTTTTAGCCACTGTGAACTTGACCTTAGGCCTTTTGACCCCAAATGCAAAAGGCTTCTTAGGATTGCCAAAAACAATCCACAAACCAAATTTGAAGTCCACATGTAAAGTATTTCTCAAGTTATCGCGCTGACAAGATTTCTATTGTTTTAGCCACTGTGAACTTGACCTTTGGCCTTTTGGCCCCAAATGCAAAAGGCTTCTTAGGATTACCAAGAACAATCCACAAACCAAATTTGAAGTTCATATGTTAAGTATTTCTCAAGTTATCGCGCTGACAAGATTTCTATTGTTTTAGCCACTGTGAACTTGACCTTTGGCCTTTTGGCCCCAAATGCAAAAGGCTTCTTAGGATTACCAAGAACAATCCACAAACCAAATTTGAAGTTCATATGTTAAGTATTTCTCAAGTTATCGCGCTGACAAGATTTGTCCGGACACACACACACACCCACCCACCCACCCACCCACCCACCCACCCACCCACCCACACACCCACCCACACACCCACCCACACACCCACCCACGGAAGGACAAGGCGGAAACAGTATGCCCCTTCGGCTTCGCCGCGGGGCATAAAAAAATGAAATAGAGTTTTCCATTGTATCAACAATCTCAAAGCCCTTTACAATCATTACCCCGTTCATCAGGCCATGAGACCACGCAGCAGCCGATATCAGCGCACATTCGGCCTCTATCCTCACGGGTACCCATTCATACTCCTGGGTAGAGAGAGCCTATTATAGTTAAGTGTCTTGCCCAAGGGCACAAACACCTTGTTCCTGGCAGGGTTCGAACCCACGTACCATCATACACGAGTCCAACACCACAACCACTAGACCATGGCATTCTCAAAGGTTGCCGGCGACTATCCTAATTATGCCTTTGAGCTTGCATTGGACAGTTTCGTTTATGCCACGCACAGAGACTATTATGCAGGTGTGTACACTGTTTTTACGAATCGTATCTATTCGCTGTTAAAGGCATAGAGGATAACTCTAGAACAAAAATCAGTGCATACATTTAATGTTAATGTAAGGTTTGCTTTTTGTCGAGCTACCTTGTTGAGAATCATACCTTGAGGCTTCTCACAGATGTAGGCCCGAGGGTAGTAACAGAAACCGTCAAACCACTCGCCAGGAAAATCCTCGTTAGCTCCTAGATACACGCAGTCCTGTGTTGGAGAAGACCCATGGGTTGTAAAAGTGAAGCATAAGTCTGGCCATAACTCACGTCACGAGCAAAAAGGGGTGAACAAAGACTATGAAATACCCAACTTGTACGTGCACTTCACAGCCTGTGACTTGTTTTTGAGACTCGGTGACTTGCGATTGACTTGTAAAGACTGATTTATTCATTCACAACGGCATCATAAGCAAATAAGCCACTTGCGAGTTAATTTTGAATAAAATCTGGAGCGCTGACTTTATTCAATGCTTTGCACGTGTTAACTTTGCATTCTCTTGAGCAAAGAGACTGTTACTATCTCAAGTGATTCGGGGCTAGCATTATGCTAGCAACCCCCAGCTCCGGCATGGTCTGGTGTCTTTGTGCCATTCTCACCCACTGTCACTGAACAATGTATTGGTGCTGAGCGTCTCTTACGTAAAGTATGCAAGAGCTTGCCCAAATCATGTGATTAGCAACAGTGTCTTTGGTCTGGAGAATTCACAATTAAAATGTGCCAAGCATTCTGAGCAAGTCAGTGTACCAGACATTTTTCAAATTTAAATCCCAAGGGCATAGGTCACTTGCAAATGGCTTATTGGCTTTGAAATACCTCATGGCTCAGTATCCAGGCATTTCGGTAATACACTTTGTACAGGGAAAGTAAAACAAGATTTTTTTTGGCCTAATGCAAAGGATCTATTTTTTTTTTCCAAACCAAGTTGAAGTTTTAAACTTTTTAAATTTTGTAAGAACGACATATTCGTTAGTAATCCTGTGTGAAAAAAATGACGTCAATTGCATTTACCATTTCTCTTTTGTGAACCTTTTTACTGCAGCACCCGATTTACATTTTTGTCCACGAGGCATCAGAATTTTGCATAAGAGCGGAAACGGTAAAATAAAGGCATATGAGACAACACAGATTTAAAACTGAATCTTAGCTCGAGCTTTATATTTCTGTGAATATGTCTATGCAACGTTTCTCTGGGCTATACTGTAGTTATCTGGGCTATATCGTAGTTACCGTGGCCTTCATTGTTCACACAATTCCAGCTCTGCCCTCTGCTTGGCAACCCTGCAAGGCAATGCATGTCTCAGCTCTAGACCTCATGGAAAGAACGGTACTGGGAAATACATTTTGTGCTCTTAGGCCAAAAAAAAAAATAAGTCGGTCTCTGGTCAGCGCGTGCGTCGATTTTAATCATGCGCGTCGATCTTTGTTTTTTCCAAAATGTTCCGCGGTAGCTCCAACAGGGCCCTCTATTTCCGTACCTCCTCAATTTTTTTTTACCAAAGAGCACCAAGGAACTGGAAATTGCACCAAGGCAAATGATTAAGGGCACCAAGGCAAATTATGGAGGACACCAATGTACATGAGGACACCAAAAAAGCAAAATAGTACCCCACCTTGTCTGTACAATCCAAGCTTGAAGAAAAAAAAAACAACATTGGCCTCGTCAATTCCGGAACTTGGTCTGACCAGAGACCGAATATTTTTTTTTTTTTGGCCTTATGTCAGTCTAAGATGCCTCGTTGACAAAAACATAAATTGGGTACTGCAGTAAAACTTTTGTAATTTGCCATCCAAGTATAACAAAACAGCCAGGTTAACAGGGACAGAAACAAATGTCAGATTTCGGACCGGAAAGAATTCCATACTGGGCCACCACCCAGACTTCCTGCACAAAGTCTATGGGCCATATAACAGAAAAAGTTTCGAGTATTACAAAAAAAATTTGCAATCCTTAAATAGTGTTTCCTCATCAGATTAACAACTTTTGGTACATTTCAGGTCATCATAAGGAATATGAGTGGTGGCCCAGTATGGAATTCTTTCCTACGGACCTTTAATTTATTGAGTGAACCATAACATTTGTCCCACCTCTTCATATGCGTTATTGGCATTATCAGGCTGATTTGGACCCCAATTTGTGAATCCGGTCGTTGGATCATCATCCAGAGATGTGCCGTCCGGCCACTTGTAGACCCCTTCTTCATCTACATCATTCAAGCCGATCCAGACATTGGAGGAGGGAGCTAGGACTAACAAGGCAGTCATGATGGCTGCGGGAAAAAAAGTAAACGATGCCCAAACGAGTTTTTTTATCTCAATCCAGATTGGGACCTGGGGGTGCTCTGAAATGTGCAAAACTATATTGTTGGTGTACCCTAACATGGCGTGGCCCCTAACATGCCGCACTTTGATTTTTTTGCCTGTAGCGTCCAGCTAGAGCAAAAGTTTTAACTGAAAGTTCAACAGAAAGTGAATTTTCACAAAGTTCTATACACTCCCGTTCATAAATCACAAGTTTATTTACCTGTTACAAAGTTAGAAGAAAAATTTATTTCGGCGTGATTGTCGGATTTTATTTCGAATTGCACAATGAACCCTTTGAAAATAACCCCCAAAACTAAGAAAATAATTTTCTGACAGACTTTTAATTGGGTATATTATGAGTAGAGATAATGATGGTTTATCAGAATTTATAAACTTTACAGACATTCTTAAATGTTTATTTGTAATGTAAGTGCGCCACGTAAGGGAACACTCAGCTGATTTTGTGCCCAATTTCTGGACACCAATGTCTTTATTTGGGATTAAATTTCATGACACAGAAATTGTTCACATAGGTTAAATAGCGAGCATTAAGTACCAGTATATCACTGAATGAATTTGAAATTCGTCAACAAAGAAGTTTGGCAACACTGCATGAGGAAAGTTGGGGTAAACGTTGAAGGGCGCCACGTTAGAGAACACCACTAAAATCATGATGCATGCCAACTTTATTCACTCTATGGCTAGTCCGAGTTACTAGGACTCTACAAATTGGACATTGTCAGGCAATCACCAGACCATGTCCAAATGTTAAAAAGGCGATAAGTTGGGTCCAAGTTATACTCGGAATGTACTGCCACTGCCAGTGCCACTCTACTTCTTGCATTGCATGCTTTCAACTTATTCCGTGGCGTTATTCGTGATCATGCAATGCCATGAATGCGTTATAATATAGTATAGCCTACGTCCTCTATCACGTCTATGGAAAAATACACACTGAGATATTAGCCTTTAATAGTTCGTATGATTAATCTGACAGATATACTCAGATCTCCACTGAAAACTCGTCCGATCGGCGGTACAGCCACTAGTTTTAGGCCTTCTCTTGGCTAGACACGTGCATCCCCTGCGAGTTCGAAACACGAGTTATGTAAAGCGCCCTCTCTTGGATCGTGATGTTTAGTTTGACTTGTTCCCAGTCCCACAATGTTTTGCGTTATCCCCAACATAGAGCCTCTTATAGTGTGGTTCCCAGAGCAAAAGATTCCGACTACTATGACAAATCTCAGGGTCATGTTTCTGTCACGGCTAAAAAAAAAACATGACCCCCTCCCCCCCAAAAAATAAATAAATAAACGGGCAGCTAGGACCCTGCTGGTATTCCGAAAATATGCGATGTTTACCGAATCCACGACACTCGGATATAGCAACAGCTCGGGTATTTCCAGACCTAAAACATGTTTTTATTTATTTTAGTCTACCAACAAAATGCATGTCATGCTGTTTACAAGTTTTGAAAATGTTGCACGTTGAGCTCATCAATAATTTCTTTGCTTGCGTTAAAAATACCAATGCCCGGCCGTAATAGTATTATTTAGGAATTATACATTTGCAAGCACTCAAAAACGAAACTTTCAAATTATTAAGAAAAAGCCCACTTGATTGCAAGTAGGCCTAAATTGTATAAAGGCATCCTGTGAGATCATTGAGCCCAGCAGTGGCGCACCCAGGATTTGGCTTGGAGGGGTGGGGGGGGGGGGGGGGGGGCTCACAACTTTTTGTTCCAATTTTTTAGAAGTAAATTTTTTTCAACAAAATTTGCCCAAAATTGTTGACCGCCTTTTTTTTTGGGGGGGGGAGGGAGAAACTATTTTGACGTTGGTGGCACCACTTACATCCCTCTTATACAAATCGAAAATAGGCCACATTCATATCACCAAGGGCAAATCGTGGGACTAAAACAAAAAAAAAGATTATCTCTTGTGGCCCTAGTGGCGCACCCAAGGGGTGGGGGGGGGGGGGGGGGTGTGCGGGGGCTTGAGCCCCCGAGGCCTCCCCTTTGGGTGCGCCACTAGAGCCCGGTATGCTATCTTTCGCAAGTAACTTGAATTTATTTGTATTCTCAAACAAACTTGGCCACAAATGAAATGTTGAGCAGCTCAGTGGAACGATGTCCGCTACAAATTAATAGCCCTAGAAATTGGAGCATTTCATGAAATTACAAATGCAAAATGATCCTATACCTTTAAGTATGGACTCGTACGATCATTCAGGGATCAGCTTTATTGCGTCAGAGAATGTGATTGGCTACCTGGCCTAACATTTATAGTCAGTATCTTTTTGGCAAGATCTGGGAACGAGACTAATTAGAGCCCTTAAAAGGGCGCACGCAACCCATGCAATGTATTTTTTTTCCAATGCAGTCCTTGAAAAATGCGCATTTGTGTCCCATTTAACCCTATTTTCAATTATTGTTTTGCCATTTTTAAAGGATAGTTTGGTGCCCTTTAAGTTATGCTAATGTTAATTTCCATATTCATGAACAAAAGTGTGATGTCATTTCAGGCAGAAACCTCAATGTTAAAGCTAGGGCCAGAATTTTTGATGTTTGCTGTTGTGAATTTTCTTTTCTTTGGCGATTTGTTGTGTCAGACCATGACAGTAAGCCAATGACCAAACTTTTTGGTTCACAATGACATCATCACAGCAACAAGGCCCTCAGTTGTCCAATAAAGCATGGAAAATATTGAAAGAATTGCACTTTTCAATGCGATTTACCAAAAAAGGATGTTACATACTTTCATACATTTAAGAGCAGTAGAAAGTGGCACAAATTATTTTCTTTCTAAGAAAAGTCACCTAATGGCCTCTTTAAGTCTTACAAATTCTTAAACTTGTTCCATTTCCGCCCCACTTTGCTGGCACAGATTTACGCCACTGACTGATGGGGGGGACTAGAACCAGTCTAACAGTTTTTAAACACTTTGACGGGATCCGGTCAACAGAGGGCATTGTCATAAAACTAATTGAAGAAACAGGAAGGCAAGCAGAAGAACTCACCTGTCAGATAATAATATTTACAATCTGCATTCAGGATGAGATGAATTACTGAAAGTGAACCAGTGCTCGGACTCGGACTTACGCTGCGTTTCTTTCGTCTTGATGCTAGCTAGACTTGCTCCCATAGCTTTGCAAGCTTCGTCGGCCTGGAACCATGTCAAGCGCGCTGCACCGTCAATGGCATCCCCGAACAGTGACAAGCATCGGTCAGTTGACCGCTCCCATCCATTTTCACATCCCCCCTGTGCAGATGCCACGTACAGCTCCGCTGCTGGCGGAGAACAAAATCAGAGAAACCCGACAGTTTAGGGCAAAATTGTAGCGCCACAATAGCAACAAACCTAGTTTGTTAAATCAGCATATTTAATATAATGTTTTCAATCGAGACTATTGTTGACGTGATACCCTTAAGTGCCAAATTACATGTACATGGCCAGGACTTTTCTAAGTGGGTGAGGGGCCAGCTCAGGCCCGTCGCCAGCCCTGAGCGTCGGGGGGCGGGGGGGGGGGAAATAATACTAACTAGGTGGGTCCACTATACCATAAAAATACAAAATTACGCATGTATGGCTTTTGCCGTTGGGGGGGGGGGGGGCAATTGCTCACCGAGGGGGCCCGGCCCCACCAGGCCCCCCCTTCCTTGGCGACGGGCCGGGGCCAGGTGTACGTATTTTCAGAGTTTAAGACACACAAACTGTCAAAACTGTCAGAGTTTAAGACTATTACACTGTCAAAAAACCTAACCTCTCTCTACCTGTCTTAATAGCTTTGGAACATGCTGGTCATCAACTACCACAGAAGCCCCTATGTATTACATTGAATAACTGGCAATAACATTGTTGATGTGGTTTGACAGATACGTTGACCATTAATGCTGGTACAGCTTCTGTAACAGCCATTATAACCGGCCGATTGTCCCAATATAAGACCAGTTTACAAAAAGACCTGCTAAAAACTGTAACCTGTTAGATTTTGACCCTTAGGGTTACTCTCCACATATTGTCACTGAGAGAGGGATGAAATAATGTCAGTTCGTTTCTCATAGGGAGGATCTTTAAAGCAAAACTAATTTGTAATGAAAATTATTATTACGTTAAAGTAATAGACTGATCATGGTGAAGTTAAATGACGGCTCTCAATTGTCCACACACAATGGCTCCCAGTAGAAAGCTCAAACCTGAGGACGTCATTATGTCCAAGGTCATTACAGTACAATTTTAAATTGTACCACAAAACTTTTACGTTCAAATAGATCGCTTGAAAGAATGGCTAAAAGCAGTAATTCCACAGTTATTATTATTATGAATAACTGACGCCAGAATTATGAATCTTGTCACTCCCTATACTAACGAAGTATATACCCAATCACCAACGGATGTTTTAAGGGGCGAATGTTGGCCAAAATGATGGACAAAACGATGAACAATATCTAGCCTAACTTTCTAAAGTTAGTACAATGCAACGATAGTAAAACTACGCCCTAAAAATTACAAGGTACCGCTAAAATTTCAAACCTGGAAGCAAGCTAGATCGACTCGACATTTCAACTCTTACCTATTAGAAGAGTAAACGTAAGGAGGAGATTGTTCCTCATCCTTAGTCAGGTGTCATTACACAGAGAAGAAAAATCCAAAACTTGAGTATTTCTCACTGGATGATTCGTAGTCGTTCACAAAACCCAAAGAGTCTGTTGCCTTTGATGACTGCTTGTTGTGGGGTCTTGTATAATACAAAACGGCCTGCTATATACTAGTTCCGAATTCCGAAGTACTTGTCGGAGGCCAATACAGGCAAGAATAGCTGTAATTACAGTGAATATCAGCAATTATGGTTAATCATTAATTCCATTTAGGAGTTCTGAAACCTCATTAGTAGAAGGAGGGGCCGCGATATTTAGGGCAAAGGGCTTCCGTGTTATAGAAAACAACACATGCAAAATTCAGTGACGGCGCGGTGGTGGTGTGTGTTATCTGAGGGCGTATGTGAACTGATAACCTTGTTACGGAAGTTGGAATACATCGTGGTCAGACTTTGGCTTGGAAAGATATTAATTGATGGGAGAGGCTCGGATCTTTGAGTCAGAGTCCAAGAATCGTTTGGCTATAATGAGGGTAAATACATGTAGTACCTGCTGGTACCAATAGTCGGCTAGAAAAGCAACAGCTAGAAAAGCAAACCCACAGTACATCTTTTTTTTAATTCAATAATCGACTCAGAATAAGCTACAAAAAATTGTAGACTAAGCTGCAGAGGTATTAACGTGGTGAAAATTAAAAATCCACTTTTGCCATATATCAAAATCTTCATTTCATCAATAATATAAAGATTGAACACAAAACCCATGTTATTGGTCCTTTTACAGACCATATACAGGGTACAAAAACAGACAAGCAGACAAACACAAAGTATTTAAAAGATAAACTACAAACAGCGCAAAGATAAACTACCGAAACATTACATGCATGACTTTATAACCATCTTGAAAGTGCTACATGAAACATGCGGCGCCAACGCAACGCAGGTGTGGTGTAGCATACAACAACTTAGACAAGTATCCGTATAAAACTGCCATAATAAGCAGTAGATTCAGTTTTAAGTCGAGTGGTAATAATGGGTTTATTGGCTTCAGAAGTAAAAATTGGCCCATCGGAGTAAAATTGTCAAAGACAACAGATAAAATCTCAACAGTTCTGATAAAGGTGAAATGCTGTGGTCTCGTGGTCTCTGGGCATTGAATTTGCGGTCTGCGGGTAATTCCGCAGGTTGTGGGTTCGAATCCAGCCTGCGGCCATGGTGCGTGTGTCTTTGGGCAAGGCACTTTGTCACGCATTGTTTCTCTCCACCCAGGAGTAAATGGGTATCTGTGACGTGAGGGCAGATGGTTTTTGTGATTGATTATTGACTATATTATAGTTTCCTTGCGCCTAACAGGCTACATCGAGCTGTACTCCCCAGTAAGCTGAGATGGTATTTGGAACGTTTTTTGTTGTTTTACCAATGATCAGGGGAAATAACAATGTAAAGCGCTGTGATCTTAGTTAAAAGCGCTATAAGAACCGTTATTATTATTATGATTAGGTGTTATATTTTGGGGATATATGAATACACCGATGTAATCGTCAATATCTAACTTATCTAACTAGCATTAATAATGCGGGCAGCAGGACCAGCCTTTCTTTGATGTGACAAAACACAGGATATTCTTGCATTTACTGTTTTGACATTTCATTCATAACCCAATGGTGTGCAGGGGCAGATCGGGGGGGGGGGGGGGGGTAGCTAGGCATAGCTGGATCCAAAGCCACTCGCACTGGTCTTTTGCCATCATCCGGGGCGCCAGACGTTCCGGGTAGCCACGCTGGCCTTGACTAAAGGCTATATTATTGGCGGCCAAAGGTGTATGTGTGTGTGTGTGTTGGGGGGGGGGGGGGGGGAGCGGGGTAGACCGCCCTTCTCCTTCGTATAGATCCGCCACTGGTGTGCATGCAATATAGGCCTATTATGAGAATTTACGAGGAAACATTATAGATTGAGTTTTTACGATGAATAATGTTTTTTTTAAATGTCATTGTTATATAATCCATGTTAAACCATAAAAGCCCCCTCCTTCCCATTCGCAAGTTGAAACATGGAAATTCCTTACCCATTTAATGACTTTCACATGTTAATTAAGAGATCCGTATTAAGCACGATGTAAATTAACAAATACATTCCTTCAGATTAAAAAAGGTACCATTTAGTTTGCAAATGTTTCTTGTCCAATTTAGTGTACTGATCGCAATTAGCCAGGATTTTTTGATACGTCACAATCACAATCGTACAGCACAGACTCTGAGATCCAATCAACTATCTTGCTTACGCCAACACGTGCCCGAGCAAAACTAGTCAAAATCCAGGGGTCAGTGTTTCAACTAGTCTTGGGTCAAGGCGTTGTTGCTCTATACGTATGGGATATGCGATCACATGCCGGAAGAGGGCGTTTAACACAACGAATCCCCATCACCAATGAATAGCCTTGGTCAAGGCGTTCGTCGTTACTCGTCCGCTAGCAGAGAATCATCGAACAACTCTACTCACATAATGCTCCAAGCCGAACTCGGGCCACATTGGCAGTAGAGGCCTACTAGCCAACCCATACCACCCGATAGGTTCGATTACACACCAACTGCTGGTGAAATATGATTATTTAAACAAGCGCCCTTTGCTCGTACACGGCCAAATGTCAATCAGGAGCAAATGTCAATCAGGAAGGCACTGGCTAAAAAGATTATCTAGTTATACCCTTAAGATGGAATGAAGTAGCTGCTCATTAAGAAGCTACCTGCATGTCGACAAAGAACTTCCTCGGATGCAGTGTTCTTGTTACGGTTACACCTCTATGTTCCGACACCCCTATGTTCCGACTGCACATATTCCTATTCCTAACCCTAACCCTAACCCTAATTCTAACCCTAACCGGGAGTAACACAATCTAGGTTGTCGGAACATAGGGGTGTCGGAACATAGAGCAGTCACCCTTGTTACAGCCCTTCAGTTTCGCCAAGGCCAGCATATGACAAAGCGGTGATTGCGAAAGGGTGAAGCGACTGGAGCAGGAGACCACACACGCGAGTGCTGACTTAATCTTTGCTCCAGTCGCTTCGTGCTTTCGCAGCTCCGCCGCTCTTAAGCCACGATGGCCTTGGCGAAGGCTAATTACAGCACGGAGAAGAGTACAATGAATCATGTTTATCAGTTCTGAGTGCATCTTTATTTGATGTACACGTTGTACCCTCTTGATTGTGCACAATAGGGAACAAACGATTGTATACGTCACCACAGGGCATTTTTATAGGTGAATACAATACACAAGGTTATCACGAAATAGATATAAAGATTTTACTCAAAAACTAGGAATTTCCAAGGTGTGTTGATCAGTGGCTAATTGTAAGGGATATTAAGTCCAAATTTCAGCCCAGGAAATTCATTCTGGTTAAAATAGGAGCATTTTGAAAGTACACTTTCAAACTCGAAAACTTTAGTACACGAGAACAAAGAAATGACTCCACAAAGGCAGAATACAAATTTGATACAATGTGTACATGCATGGATAGCACTCCGACGTTCGAAGAAATCAAGCAGCAAAGCAGCATTTGTTTAGGAGGCTTCTCATAATTTACACCACATTTGGTTTGATGCTGTGAGCTGTCAGATCATGAGATTTGAGAATGTTAAGGAAATGTAATCATCTTCAAACTGTGATGAACATACAATTCAGACAAATTGGAGGATATGGAAGTAAAGCCGATCGGTGGTATTGTTTCTTGTTTGGGAGGCTGGTTTTGCGGTCAAAATAATACACACTGCTTTTAAAAAGAAACCATGGTATTTGAAATATATCAATATAATGGCAGGCATCGTCTATGCCACTTTGATAATAAAAAAAACCTATTTATTTTCAACTGGCTTGTTGAATATTGTATATTTAGAAACTGCATCAATAAAGTGGCAGGCGAGGCATCGTCTCTGATTTAATGAGAACTGTTTGTTTTCACTTGGGTTGGAGTCAGTTGTCAATATTATTAACAGATGACTGCGTCCATTTTAATGCCGATAGTGGCCGGATATTGGATATGCTGTCACAAAGAATCTTTAAAGCGCAGCTTTCATACAACCATCCATGCAATCACACTCACTGATATTAAGGCAGTCATTTCTTGTATTGTACATTGTACGCAAGTTGAAAACCGCGTCAAAAGCTATCATCTCACTTAACTAGCCTGTAAATCAAACTTCTATTCGCTTTGCCACTGCAGCACTTTTTTGGGCAGTTGTGGTTTTTCACGAAGACCAGCGACATGTGAAACAGTGTTGTAAACGAAGGTTTCTACGCCGGAAAAAAGAACGACAAGGAATTAATTGATGAATGACCCTTGTTTCTTCAGTATAGTCATTTTGATCTGTTGCTTTCAGCCAAACTTCAAACATTATGGGGCACGGATCAGATTGTGGCTAAACCACAATTTCAAGTTTCTCTACCGAAGAGAAATAATTTGTCATTTGTTGAGTTTCTCCACCGAAGAGGAATCATTTGTCATTTGTTGAATCTGACGGACAGCCATTCACCAATACAAACTGTGTAGACCTTAAACCAAGGTACGTATAATTCACATGCGTAAACGTTGCTTCTTCAGTCTTGTGCGATGCTTCTAACATTTCATCATTCCCGAGGAATTGTGCACACCTTTCTTACAATAGGATATCGATCATTGTGGTAGACAAATGAACACAAGACACACCATTCACAAGATCAATCGCCATCCCTCGATTAACATGAGACTGAATGATGGTCCAGAGATTCAACGGCCTACAGAAGATATTGAAGTTTGCATACACCCGAATCTGAAATAAATTTGCGAAGATTATTATTCGTCAAAAGGATTATCGAAAGATTGCTCTCGGAATCGTCTCTGTTTATGAAACAAAACTAATAAATGTTATGATTGAGCATATTTCCACACAATGGCAAACATATCAGACGAATCTGAGGTCACTTCTCTCCTCTCCAATTCTGACATTACTGAAGAGGACCAGGAATATGAAGAAAGCTTGGAT